CCGCTAAAGCTCTGAGGGTGGGGGATCCTGGTACGTAGACATGGGTCAGTATTCGCAGTGAAGAGAATTAAGTTAGGTAAGTAGTAACCTTCCCCAGGCTAACGGTGCCCTTGCCTGGGGGTTTGTTTTTACCGCGTTTAACCCGTGAAAACATATTTTAATTATATGATTTCTCGAGCACAGAAATGAAAGAGATGGTAAAACAAAATATGGGTTTAAATAATCTTTTATGTTCTCCGGAGCAGTGCAGTTGTACGGAAAAACGATATTGAAGAATGTTAATTTCCTCGAAAGCCTTTTTTCATTTTTTGGATATTTTTATCAATACTTTGCGATGCCTGATGGTTTTCTTGAAATTGTGCCGGCGTTCAGAAATGCCAACCCAACCTCTGCAAAAAGTTGAGGATCAAATCATCAGAAAGACTGCTTCAAAATATTCCTTTACGATCAAAATATGTATTTTATTATATTGTAGATTTAATTTATAATTTGTCTTCGTCACAGACATTCAATGTGTCCACCACGGTTTTCCTGTGAAACCCCGAACTGCAATGTTTTAATTGCACCTCGTAATCTGCTTTTTCGTCTTGGTATTTTCACTGGGCATCCTTTTGCGGAACATTTCTCGAGAGATTTTCTTCCGAGAGTAGACAAAGATTTATCCATTTCTCTTCGTTCAAACTACCTGATTTTATTTCTTGTCGATTTCGTTTTATATTTGTCATACAGTAATCAGCGTGCAAATTGTTCCCGCTTGTGAACCCCTCCATTTTTATTTCATGCTTGAAAACATTCGCGATCACTTTGTTGTCATGCGGGGGTTCTCTTCAAGTGTTTCAGGCGGTTGGGCAGTTCTGAGGAACTGGAATCAGAATACGTTTGATCACCAAAATGTGCTCAAAAAATTGCACGCGACGTATCGCGTGGAACCCTTCTTCTCCATCCGGGTTGTTCCGGACGACAAAAACCCGGGATCAACTATCGTCAAGGTAATTCATTTTCTCATATTGCTTATTGTAATTTTTAATCATTTTTTATCGCTATGATTCTGATGTTTTTATTTCGTTCAAGTTGATGCCCGACATTCTGTTCATGTAACGTTTCATAAGTGCGTAAATGACAGCTTTGCATTCGAACCCGTACCCGTTTCTTTTTAGTCACTTTTTTTTTTTTCACGCGGCAACCCAGATTTTAAGCAGTAATTTAGTCATTTCGGTGCGGAGGGAAAGGAATGTGCATACGCCGCAGAAGGTTAAAACGTTTTGGGAAAAGGTGACTTGTAATCAGAGAAGATCTCCAAACTTCCGCCACAACAATTCAACGAGAAGATAATCAAAATAAATTTTTCGTGATCAAGTTATCTTAAACACACCGAGGTACAGTACTCCGATAAATGGGTGAGAAGTACCGTACTCGTAATCCAAAGCAGAGTTCTTGGCGATATAATTTTTAATCAATTCACGTAATACAGTATACTATAAAGTCTTATATATGATAAGACCAAACTCACGTCATTTATTACATCAGGTGCTGCCCCTCTGACACTAAAATAAATCATGAAATATGACAATACCTTATAGAACGCATAGTAAACAGCTCTCCTTCGTTAATTCCATGCATTTTTACGAGGTCCCGTTGGAAATAAACTATGGATATTGGTGTGATAAAATGTGAATTCATGTCATCTCGGGTTATTCCTTGTTCGTCGCAGTAGTGATTAGCGTTTAATCTTGACCCTTTCTCTAGATTGGACCAGCGAAGTTGAGTCTGCCGGACAAGAGTTATTATACGCGAAGTCCAGATGATCCGGTAAGTTTCTGATGACTAGTCAATACTGTATATTAAAAAAATCCTTTATTTCCCTTACAAAATAACTTCGACTATCCAGGAAAAAAAATTATCGAACATCACGTAAGTAAAACGCCTTGAACAAATTTTTGAATCAAATCTTTAAACTTAATGCTATAAAGTCCCCAGTACAACTAATATGTATTTATTTTTTTAATGAAGAAATTCTTGATCAACGTTTACTGTTGATCGCAGCTTTAAAAATGTGGCTCAGAAGGAAACCAGGCATCTCTTCAATCAGAAAATCTAGATTTTTTAATGGGCAAACATTCTCGATTCTGCATTAAATTAATTTTCGCTGGGAAACTCTGTTACAGTTAAACCCCAATAACTCAATCCTCCCTAAGTTGGAAACCTCTTAATGTCGACTTCTTCTTCAAGTCCTTGTCTGAATTTCCTCAGAAAATATGGCTTTAAAGAAAAAAGCCCCAAATCCAAGGGCTTTCCCTCTCAAACCTTCATAACTCGATTTTTCTGGGAGCCTTTTTTGACTATTATTTCATTGACACAGGAAATAAGCAATAAAAATGTGACGACGCGTCTTGAAAGGAACTGAAATACTGGTTTGACGAATGAACCCATATGCCTGTACCTTCAGCTTTAATTCTGTCAACTCAGCTAAGAACCAATTCAAGGCCTAGAATATTACCAATTACAATTTCCTGTATTTCTTTTTCCTTTCCGCGTTCAAAAATTCTTGTTTCCTTAACTCGAAACCTCTTTAACTCGAATTCATTTGCTGGTTCCTGGAAGTTTGACTTGAAGGGATTTAACTACAATTTTCTTGATAATGTTCTAGAATTTATCGAGTACAGATGATGTGTCCAGAAAAAAAAAAAGATTTGAAGAAACCAATTTATAATTTTGGAACCATTCCAAAATGTTTAATACGTTTCTCATAATTGTCGTGTGTAAGGCCGTATAAAGTTTGTTGTTTGCAAGATTTCACTTTTATATTCCTGTAAAACATCACGTGTTGGATAGATGGTCCTGGCGTTTGAACGGTTCGTCGAGGACACGGTTCGGGAGTTCGGCGCCTCGGGGCCGGACGCGAAGGCGTTTGCGGAAAACATGTTCCATCTGGAGAAGCGCATTGCCATGTTCACACCGGATCTCCAGGACTCGGAGAACCCGGTCACGACCTACAACAGAATTTCCCTCAAGTCCTTGAAGACCATCGCGGGAAGCGTGAGTACAAGCTTCGTTTTTTTTCCTTTTTTTTAAATGCATATCCTCATCAGACGAGTGGAACCTTTTGGAAAATGAAGGACTATACGTATACTCGAGTATGACAAAAAAATATATTTATATATTCATCAGTAAATGTCGTCTACGTATCCGTGTATGAAGACGATTTAGGAGGAATTCAGCTTGGTTCACGGCATGCTAGAGTTATGATTTGAGTACTTTTCCTGTTTGAATGACTTATGGTCCTGTTTTTGAAGGATGAACGTTCTTTTTTCAGTGAATGTTCATGGAACTTCTGTGGGCATTATTTTATCGATTCGAATTTTTTTTATTTAAAGGGATAAGTTATTCATCAGCAGTGATATTTTATGGATGAATATGACCTAAACTCCTAACGTACTGACTTATAGAAGATCGTCGGTGAAAAATCAGAGTTCTACTTCAAGCATTTTTTTTAATTAGCTGAAATACGGTAGATCAAGATTCGGGCTTGCCTGAATTGTTCTTATTTTCAGTAATGAATATGTTCTCAATAAAATGAATTATTATATTTATTCCCCGTGTCTTTCTTTTTTAAAGGGGGAAATGATTCATTCAAATATTTTTTATGCATGAATATGATCTATACTAGAATATATAAAGAAATCAATTCACTATCCATCAGACCATTCGTTTAAGTCCTTTTTGTCCAAATTGCCATTATGCATCGTTTTTTTTTTTAATTTCCTTGGTTTATTCTAACGGGATTTTCATAATTCAAAATGCTAGTCAAAAGAATGCACTATAATAAATCATGTCGAATATTATAGGTCATATCAGCGTTTTTGCACCGTTTTCTCTTTTCTTCGGAGAAAAGTGCGACATAAGAAATACGGTACTCCTCGATCGAGAGGCCGAGGAAGGATTAATTATGCAGAGAATTTACCGAAATCAAAATTTGTAAGACACACTACACAGTACGTATCAGTAAGGAGTTTTTCTGTGTGAATCAATTTTTATGTTCAATGTACATCTCAATTAGGTTCCTTGGCTGGAAATTGTGAGGGAAGTTTATCCGGACGCGGAAGTGAGCCAAACCACGCCTGTGTTGATTGTCTCGAAGCAATACGTTCAGGACGTGTCGCAGCTGTTTTACGCCAATGATCAACAGTGAGTGGTCAATATCCCAGTGCAATGAAATCGAAATCGTGATTTTTTTCTTGAAGCGAAATCATATTTCTGAGCTTGCTTAGACCAATACATAATTAACAGTATTTCATTATTTAATGACTTTCTTCTGAGAATAACCCGAGGCTATTACAGTACATTGTTTGGTTCGTGTCTGTTTCATCGTTTGCTTCACTGTGTGATCTTGCCGATATTTTTGAAGCATTAACATGCCGACATTATTAATCGTACGACGGATATGCATGATTAATACCGTACTCACTTTTTGTGACTATACTGAATAATTCGTATTAAAGTTTAATTTTATCCTGTCATTCTCAAAATAATGTCTTCTATGCGTCAAGAAAAATTCCCGAAACAAAGAGCCTTTTGCAGAAAAATTAGCGATGGGAAAACATCCAGGCGAATTTTATCCATGAATTTTTCGAAGCAGGGTTTGTTGTGTGGTGGCGCCCTCTATTGTATTACAGTACAGTGCTGTAATGTACAGTATTTGTTCTACTGTAAAATGCTGTCTCCTGACTGTCGTGAGTCATATGCAAGGGTTGTCCTTGTTCTGCGCATGCAAAATATTTCTAAGGTCGTGGAGAATCTTTTTTTTTTGTAAATATTTTTCAGTACGCAGCTGTTCCATGAGAAATTAAAATTGTCTGATAACGGCCAAGGTTCATTTCCACCGATTTACCGGCGTGTTGAAAATTTGTAGGAACAATAAGTGAACAAATACGATCGATTTTATCCTTTTGACTACAGTATTATTTTTCTCGTTTTAAAATAAATTCATACTTGTACTTAAAACGACCCTGATGAAAAATAAACGAAAAACAGAAGATGAGCATTTGTGATGAAAACCGGGTTCAAACCCTGATCAGCGTCTAAAATAAAATTTAAAAAACACGCGGTGATTTACGTTTATTGCTTTGTACGCACATAAACATTTGAATTTCGCCTGGATAAATGTGGTGCTTAATACAATAATGAATGACCAAAACCGGGAACTGTAACTGGAAACAAATGAATTTTCTTAGGCACTATATTCTCTGTAACCTGGCTTTAAGCAGCAAACATGCCCGTGATGTTAAAGGATGTTTCTTGTTTTCTTCACGTGGGTACAGTTCTGATTTATTTCGGTTTTCTGCATGGGTGCCCTTTTTCTGGGTTGCTCTTTTTGTTCCTCGCGCCGTTTCGCACGATGTAATTTATAAGCAGGATTTTTATGTACATTATATATCTTTCTTCTTCTGGATGCTCTATATGCTTAACCTCACAGGTTTTCAAGTATCCCCGTCTCGCCAATTTCTCGCGTCCATCGTCCGGTTTCAATCCTTTTGGTTCGGAAATCGATGCTATTGCGGATTAATTGATGTTCGATAATTATGCATGCTTATTATTTGTTGCTTCTCGCTTTTGACGGGGTGTTATGTGTGATGGATGGTATTGGTGGTGTTGGTGCTGTTGCTCCGCGGGGATTTTCGTTTCTCTGTGTCCGTGGTTCGCAGCAAGAAATGTGGTCACCGGGGATACGTGATCGAGGATGGGAAAGTGGTGAAATGCGAATTACACCCTCATTTCAGGGCCCTGAACAACTTTCTGATGTGGAAACTGGCCGAAGCCATGGTGCCCTTTTTGTCCTCGCATTTCCGGGCCATTTACGACTTGTACGCCGTCGCAGTTTCCGGTGAGTTTGCCAAATTCGTTTCTGAATTTACGGAACACACTTTTGTGCGCTGCTGATTGTTGGGATATATAGAGATGCTTCATTTTTTTTCCTGGAATGTGTATTGGGGAGGTGGAAAAAGCCGGAATTATTGTTGCCAGCAGTGAAAATGCGATAATTGCTGCAGGATTTATGAATAAGTGACGCGGTGAGGGAAAATATATGGGGCGTAATTTTTGCAGTTGACTCGGTGAGGAAAAAAGCGGCATGATCTTTTGCTCTAGCAGTCTGGAACACATTTATATCATGTTGTTGTTATTGGAGATAAAAATGCGTCTGTTTTATTGGAAATTTTCAGCGAGTGTACAAGTAATACGGTACGAAATCGTTCGTGGACGATATCTTCTACAGAAATTTTTTCCCTGCAACGAATTTCTCCCGGCTTTTTGCAGCTCTTTCATTTATGCGTAGAATCCATGTCTCAGTCTAGCAACAACAAACATATTTCTAGAAAATGTTTACTTTCTTGGTCTCTGAGTATAGTTATAAAAAAAATATGCTATTTTTGCTTTGGTGTCTCCTCTTTCATTTTATTTTTTATGATATGAAAATCTTTATCGTAAATGAACAGCACTTTTCTTCGCTGCATTTTGTTCCATTTTTTTAGCGTTCTTTGTGTGATCCGTAGTTTGGTCTGCTTTCTGCTGAGAGCTGTAGTCAGTATTACAAGTCGAATGTCTGCAACAACAACAACAAAAACAAAAACAAAAACCGTACTGTAGTCCCTTAGAATCGTTCACTCGTACTTTATTTCAGAAAATGTCGCTAAAAAATAGAATCCCTTCACAGGAGCGAGGAAACCTTTTGAACGCTGGGAAGTATGCGCAAATGTTCTCGAGCAGAATTTCGGTTTTGCGGTTGGTGCTTTATCGTGGGACAGAACATTGAATCGTGAAGAGATCATCAACACGGTTAGTATTTTTTTTTCTTGTTAATTGCAAATCTTTACCGTACCTACTGATTTTTTTTTCGAATGTATATTTATAGTCTGATGTGCCACTTTTTGATTAGTTGTCGGGCATTTTTCGTGTCTCTCGTTCTGGTAATAAAATGTTCTCGCCGCGGAAAACATATTTTTCGCTTAGTTTTGCTCATTCAAAACTGAGGTTCAATTTTTTTTATAGATATATAGCTTAGTTTCAATTGAAAAATTTGGTTTTGAAGGACAGCTATGGTTTTGAGTCTGTGCCATTTTTTGATCAGTTGTCGGGCATTTTTCGCGTCGCTCGTTCTGGTAATAAAATGTTCTCGCTGCGGAAAACGTATTTTTCTCTTAGTTTTGTTCATTCAAAACTAAGGTTTCAATTTTTTACAGATATATAACTTGGTTACCAATGAAAAAAATTTGGTTTTGAAGTACAGCCATGGTTTTGTAATTTAGGTGGAAGAAATGTTTCACCGCATGCGAAAAGAATTCATCCGTCACGTGGAGGACAACGACCTGTTGTCCGACGAAATGAAAGCCCGCAATATTGAAAAGGTGGGAATTTTTTCGGTTGTATGATTTATTCAATCAAACCTCGGCCTTTTTTTTTTAAAGCGACGTTCAATTTTTCAAGCTTCCAGAACCTGCGAATTTCATTATTAAGTTGGTTGCGGTCTTTGAGGATTGTGGTTTTATTTTCGCACGCTTGTGACTATTGTACATTTTCTTGCGCGTGGTGTTGAATTGGATCCCAATTAGGAAACTTTAATTGATCAAATAATTAATTAATAATTATTAATCCTTTTCTGTTTTCAATGTTGTTTTTTTCATTAACCGCAAGTTGTTACAAGCAACATACGAGCAGTTCCAATCAGCAGAAGGCAGAAAAACGTTTGCCACACCAAAAGTGGCAAAGTTACCAACCCCAGGATAAAAACCTCTCCCGAAGATTTGGATTTAAAAAATAATAATCTGGATTTTCTTCAATTATAAATTGTTTGCCGTGATGTGAACCGTAAATATTAATCCCTTTCTTCAGACGGTGACATTGATGAATTCTGATAACCATTTGCGAGGGGTAAGAATAAAAAAACACTGCAAGAAAAATCAACTCCTTTAAAAGAATATGAAAATATAAATTCCTCATCACGAGATTACATAGTACAGCATTCTGTCTGTATACGGTGTTTCTGCCGGGACCTATATGTTATAATGAATAATTATTCGTCATAACGGAAATTCGCAAATGTGGATGCGTTTCAATAAGATTGAAGGTTTGACGGGAAACAGCTTCGGTCTGTTGTCTTATGGTCTTTTTTCTGTATTTTTTAAAATTTATTTATTGTTACTGTTTGCATTTAAGATTGAGACGATGAAGCTGATCGTAGGCTATCCCGAGAGAATGGTGCAGTCGGAATACCTGAACGCGATGTACGAGAAGATGACTGTGCAGCGAGGAGCATTTTACCGGAACATCCTGTACGGTGCCTACTTCCGCCGGATGACGGAGCAACAAGCCCTGCGCTCCACGGACCAGGATTACGTTTGGAGGGACGTGCTGTTGGCTGATCAGCCGAGTTACGTTCACCAATCGAATGTACTTGGTGAGTGTATTGTATTTGTGAGTGTAAATGTATTGATCGCCGTCGCGAAATTATTACTGCTGACGTACTGTAGTATGCTATATATGGTGACAAAATTATATGCTCCAGAATTTTGTCTGTTGTTGCGGGCAAAAGCTGCCACGACACAAGGAAGAGAAAGATGATGCTGTCGATCAAAAGAGATTAAATGAGAAAAACACAGAATAAGCCTGGTGCATAGGGGCCAGGAATTCTTGGTAAAATTGGTAGAATCAGGTAAAATTTAAGATTTACAGTATGTATTTTGGAATTGTCCCAAGTCCAAGAGATGAAATTTTAGAACCTTTAGGACAAGATCACAAGATATAACCATCAAAAATATAACCCCCTCAGATAAACGCACTGCACTAATGACAGCTCAAAACGGACTGATGATAAAGGCGATGAGGGAAAGGGTTTTATTAATTTTGTTTTCTGGTCCTTGATCAAGGACAAGACAATTTTGAAGGCCCAGGAGTGGCCAATGAAAATTTGAGTAGATGACATCTTGGTAACAAGGTACTCAAAATTTGTGGGAGGGTAAAACATTGGTGGTTTTTTCTGTTGTTTCCACTTGGATGGTTTTTCACCCAACTAAACTTTTCCAGTTGATCTTTTTATATTGATGAAAGAGGGGATGCGCGGCAAGTCCCCAACATCTGTCAAAGGACAAAATTTAAACTGCAGTGCGGACAAAATTTGTCTGTCGAAGCTACGAGAAAAAATGTCAACTGAATTACAAAAAATGTGTCTGTTGAAGGATACAATTTAAACTGAAGAGCACCGACAAAATGTCTCTGTCGAAGGTCAAATTTAAAATTGAGGGCCGATCATCTCGTATATATATATATATATATATTTTTTTTTTTTTTTACGTATACAGTATTTTGGTCATTTCGTGAAATTTAATCAGATGTCAGTGTTTGTAAGAATGCATTTTTCTCGCCGTGAGAAGACTTGTAAAAATTTAAGAAAAAATTGGATCTTTAAACTTTTAAACTTAATTTCCGGTTTATTTTTCAGTTGTGCCTCCGCACGTGCTTCGTGCGCCTTTCTTCAATCGCAAGTTTCCGCGGTGAGTTTATTTATCATGAACGATTTTCCGAAGATCGTGCGATTATTCTGCTGCTGACAACACGCATTAATTTACATTTTTGATGTGTTGTCATGGCGACCTGGGAATGGTTCCAGCATCCACTTCTTGAATATTTCCCTAAAATACTGTACTAATCCTGTTGCAGCATTTTTGAAGTGAAGGTGTGATACACGCATTCCGAATATGAACGTGCCTTTTTTTGAAAAAAAAAAGCATTGCCCAATGACGTAGTGTTCAGAAATTATTTTTAATGAGCGTCTTTGTCGCGTTCAGGCTGTGAAAAGGTTTTGAAACATTTTCTAAAAAGCATCGTTTGAACTTTCGAACGTCAAGTAAAAAATGTATTTACGTGTACATTTTAATACAGTGCTCTATTTATATATGTATTTTTTCTGTGACGTCGGAATGCATCATAACCTTTTTTAAGTTGCATTCAAGTTATGTTCTTGTCTTGTTCCTGTTTTCTTATAAATGTATAGGTCATTCAATTACGGAAGCGTGGGAACGCTTATTGGGAAAGCCATGATGAGCGCGTTGGATGAAATCGGTGTTCATTATTCGCCTGATGGTTTACTTGACCCAATACTCAAAATTGATGTCAATGCATCTGTGATCGATGATTTTGAGCCTTCTCCACTGCGGGCGACGAGCAATCATCTAGTAGTTCCACGCGAATGTCTCAGGAAGGCATTTATGGAACTGGAACTGGGTAATGCGAATGTAAGTTTATTTTTAAAATTCACACGTCGCTATGTTTTTTTTTTCAATTTCTGCCGGAACTTTCGAATGTGTTTTTTTATTTCATTACAGGAAGTCGCGAGGGCAGTGAATTGCAGTTCCGTTGATATTGCTGGAGTTCGGCTCGCTCTCAGAGCTCTGGAAGCAAGTTTCGAAGACGCTGACGAACCGCCTCAGCCCGGTTTGCCGTATTTTCCACAGGGCATTTTCTTTTTGTCTTATTCGCAGGTGAATATTGAATTTAATTATACACGTAAACGGTCCATGTAGATGTAGACTTCCGTGGACATTTAGAGAGGTACAAAATAAAAATGCCAAAGCTGGAAATTGTCAATTTATCCGGTTGTTTCCCCCTTCCGTGGTCCATTTTGCCGACTTCCGTGATTTTCCGTTCTTTTAATCCATAGGTGTCGCCTGAACCTTTATGCATTCCTCAAGCTTGACCTTAGACTTAATGTTTTAATTTACGGTAGTTTACATGATGTTTTAATTCTTTTGGTTCTCGCCTAATTTTTTTTTTTTTACTTAGGAATCGCTTAGTTCCGTAACACAGTATATACTTTGTGTAGGTTAGTAAGTAACCATTTAGGTTCTCATTAGTTTGGTTTATGTTATCTATGTGTCCGCTTTTTGGCAAACTTTTTCAACGATTGATTTTGGTTTAATATAAGAAATAGTGTATTTGAGGAGCTTTTCTCCTTTTATATAGATGTTTTGCGGAGAAGTCCGAGAAAACCAAGAGGAAATCGACCTGATTTCATCGCGGTGTTTTTCTCCTAAAACCAGGTACAGTATATTAGCATGTTTATTTATTCTATTATTCCTCATCACCGATCTTGATTCTTATATGATGTATCTGTAGATTAAGGGCAGCACTCACGCAGCTGGATGAGTTTGGAGATGCATTTGAATGTGATGGTGGGGACTGGAGCAGCTCGACCAGAAAGTGCGGCCGAATTTTGTGAAGTGGATTTCTGCCCAGTGTGAAATAAGTGCGAAAAGTTGCTTTTCATCGTGAAAAATTTCTTTTCACTGGTATATGTGGTAAAGCAGCTGATTTTTAGGCATAACATCAAGCGTTTTTAAATTCAGCAGAAATAGATAGTGAGCCTTTCAATGCTGGCAGCATGTGCTGAAATGTTCTATGCAGCATCGAGATTATAAAAAAATAATAATATTGGTCTTCTTGAGCAGGAGCTTAAAGTTTCAACGTATATATACAAAAACTCTTTATTTTATCTGATGAAAGTTTTGTTTTATCCTGATGGATTCATGACTTTTTTATGCATGATTGAAGTATATAAGGTGATATATTGTCAATTAAGTGACGAATACGTACCGCTATTATCGTTTTGGTTGTTTGCAAATTCTTTTTTGTTCTTAATTTAGCGTATGGTTGAGAGTGTGCGTGCTTTTTTTTAATGAATAAAGGAGCTTACGATTCTTATTGTGAAGGGCATAGGAAATCTTGCTCCCTTTTGTACGCTGTATTGTTTTAAGAATTAAATAATGTTTTCGAAGCCAGGTTTTGAACTGCATTGGTGCTGACTGTCTGAATGTTCTTATTCACGCATTGGGAACAACGAAGAGAAGTTTTTTTTCCTTCTAAAGTTTATTTGCTGGAAAGTGTGAAAATGTGATGAAGCATTGGACATCTTCATCCTCTTAAATACTGTAGTCTTCTTGAAGTGTGTTCGAAATGCTGGTCACTCTGTCGTGCTACTCTCAGCGAAAGCTGCTGATATGCTGGTTATGTGCGTGTATGCCTTTGAATAATCGCGTTGTTCTGGTCTTCTGAATGTTGGGACGAAATGCAGAAGTGCAGATTCCAGTATGACTCTTGGATTGCAATTTTCATACATCGCGGATTTATTCCGTTCACAGGTTCGCCCAATGTTGTTATACGTATGCTCTAGTAGTCTAGTTTCAACCATCTCGACTACACAGCACGAACCATATTCATTGCGAATATGGGTAGCAATTTCGTTTAAGAAAATAAAACGATCTTATTTTCCGCTTTTTTGCTTATGCAGCATAAATGTAGTTCGACGTGATATTGTGAGAAATTGAGCAAGCTGAGATGAATGTTGGGCCAGAAAAATTTAATCATACAGCTTCAGACTCAACACTTACGATGTGTACTACATCATAATACAACGTACTGTGTTATACAGTACTGTATTCGGCCTGCATTATTCATGCTGAAGTGCTAGCGACACCTAGGTATAAAAATAAATACGACCGTGTTTATATGCAGGCAGCAAGGACGCCTATCGTCGCCATCTGAGAAGCGACTCACGGACTCCCAGTCAAAGCGACCCTAGTAGCTGCTCACTAGTAGACCAACTACATACCCTAGCCGCGCACTTGAACACGAGAGGTGACCCACCGAAAAATCCATGCGCGCCGCCATGACTTTTGACACTCTCGCCATCTATGAACAGAACATTGAACAATGAATCTCTCCAGCAACACTGGCCAGACTCCCATATACAGTTCTGTACTCCTCTGGGCTATGACAAAAGTTCACAATCACCATGAAACTTCAGGCCTCCTGCTGGTAGAAACTTAGTATATAAACCTAATCTCCCTGCTATAGTAGAAACCTAATACCCCTTCTTGTATAGAAACTTCAAAGATCCCTTCTTGTAGAAACTTTAAATATCCCTTCTTGTAGAAACTTCAAATATCCCTATCTTGTAGAAACTTCAAAGATCCCTTCTTGTAGAAACTTCAAATATCCCTTATCTCGTAGAAACTTCAAATATCCCTTTTTGTAGAAACTTCAAATATCCCTTCTTGTAGAAACTTCAAATATCTAAGATCCCTTCTCGTAGAAACTTCAAATATCCCTTATCTCGTAGAAACTTCAAATATCCATTATCTCGTAGAAACTTCAAATATCCCTTCTTGTAGAAACTTCAGATCCCTTCTTGTAGAAACTTCAAATATCCCTTCTTGTAGAAACTTCAAATACCCCTTCTTGTAGAAACTTCCAATATCCCTTCTTGTAGAAACTTCAAATATCCCTTCTTGTAGAAACTTCAAATATCCCTTCTTGTAGAAACTTCAAATACCCCTTCTTGTAGAAACTTCCAATATCCCTTCTTATTGTATAGAAACTTCACATATCCCTTCTTGTAGAAACTTCAAAGATCCCTTCTCGTAGAAACTTCAAATATCCCTTATCTTGTAGAAACTTCAGATCCCTTCTTGTAGAAACTTCAAGTATCCCTTCTTGTAGAAACTTCAAATATCCCTTCTTTTAGGTTAGTTTATGTTGGTTAAAAATATCTTTTAACTATCATAAACTAACCTAACCTAACTTTACCTAACTGCCTCCAAAGTTGGTTTCTGCAGAATGCCAAGGAATGGATGAAAAGTTGCTCATAACTTGTTGGGATTATGAACTTGCATGGTGATTATGAACGCGCATGGTGATTATGAACGCGCGTCTTATACTGTATCTGGGAGTCTGGCCAGGGTTGCTGGATAAGAGGGTTTAAACTATAGGGGATTCATTTTGCCGGTAGATGTCACGTTTGTATGATGCGCGTGGATTTTTTGGTGGGTCACCTCTCGTGTACAAGTGCCGGATCGGCGTCTATCGTAATTATTCAAGATATGTATTTCTATTCGCTGTAAAGTTGGACTATTCTTGTAGCCGATGAAAGCGGTCATGCCTCTTGTGGGTGACGGCTGGAATCCAGGATATTGGCGAATGCTGCGATGTGCTACAGCTGTTGTTCCACAATTAATCATTCTGCGTTACGCCTGTTTTTCAGATTATTGATTACTTGATTTATTCTAAATTTACTTCTAATACTTGTTCGGTGTTCTGATTGGTGTCTCCTGGGCTGTTGATTTGCGTTCAATCATGGGCATTCCCAAATTTTACCGGTGGATTAGTGAGCGCTATCCATGCCTGAGTGAAGTAGTCCGTGACTACCAGGTTTGTGACGCGCTTCTTCGTTTGTTAGCCTTTTTTTAATGGTGATCTTCCGCAGATTCCCGAGTTTGACAATCTGTACCTTGACATGAACGGAATAATTCATGTCTGTTCACATCCAAACGACGATGATCCGTTTTTCAGAATAACGGAAGAGAAAATCTTCAAAGATATTTTCCACTATATTGAAGTACGTGTAATCTTTACGGGCTCAGTTTACGTATTTTGCTGTCTATAAACAAACGTTTTCCATCAAGGTTCTTTTCCGGATAGTTCGTCCTAAAAAGGTATTTTTCATGGCTGTGGATGGCGTGGCGCCAAGAGCTAAAATGAATCAGCAGCGAGGAAGAAGGTATTCGAAAATCCTTCTGTAAAAATCCTGCTTTACTGATCTTCGTTTTGTGTGTAAGATTTCGGTCTGCGAAGGAAGCCGCAACAAATGAAGCAAAGGCTATTGCGCGCGGAAAAGAGCTTCCCAAGGAGGAGCGATTTGATTCGAATTGCATCACTCCTGGTACCCCGTTCATGGAGCGTCTGGATGAACAATTGCGATATTTTGTTTCCCGGAAAGTGTCTACTGATAAGTACTGGCAAGGATTGCGTATTTTCCTTTCGGGGCACGAGGTAATATTCTCGTTTAGTTTCATGAAACGAATGATTATTTGATGATCTCAATTCTCATTTACATAGACTCCAGGTGAAGGCGAACACAAGATAATGGACTTTATACGATACGAAAAATCCCGCAACGAATACGACCCGAACACTCGTCACTGTTTGTATGGTCTGGATGCCGACTTGATCATGCTGGGACTGTGTTCGCATGAGCCGCATTTTTCCCTTTTGCGTGAAGAGGTCAAATTCTCCAATTCAAAAGATAAGAAAGGAGCCAGCAGAACAGCGTGTCCAGAAGAAACAACGTTCCATCTTTTGCATCTATCTCTAATGCGAGAGTACCTGGACATGGAATTTTCTGAATTGAAGGGAACCCTACCTTTTGAATATGACTTGGAGCGCATAATCGATGATTGGGTATGGATAATTTTAATGACGATTAATTCACGCATGTCTCCGAAATGCTTGGTCTTTTTAAAGATCTTCATGGGATTCTTAGTTGGCAATGATTTTATTCCCCATCTTCCGGATCTCCATATCAAGCACGAGGTGTTACCGAAGTTGTGGAATGTCTACATTAGTATATTGCCAAGTATGGGAGGTAAGGAGAAGGGAATCATCCGTAGAAAATGGACCAATCTTTCAAGGGATCCTCCTTTTATTTAAATTTCAGGCTACATAAATGAAAGTGGTGAACTGAATCTTTCTCGCTTTCAAAAGTATATGGACGCATTGGCCTGTTTGGAGGTGAAGTCTTTCTTCGAGAAGTTTTGGGACTTGAAGTACCTGCAAAGTAAAAGGGTACGTTTTTCCTGCATCAATTTTCAGTTATTTACTGTATATTTGTAACAATTTCTATTCGTAGGGAAATTCTGGTTTCAATGAGGCGAATGAAGATCCAGCGGACTTGGTTTGTCTGGACGACCTTCAAATCGACAGGCCTGTAAATGAGCCGTTCTCATTCCCAAATTGGGATTCAGAAAGAATCAAACTGTTGAAAGATAGTGACGACGAGAGTGACGATGATTACGAGAAAACACTGAACGATCCCGATTTTCAGAAGTTTTTTCGGGACTACAAGAACAATTATTACAAGGAAAAGATGCATTACGACATAAAGGATCAGTAAGTATTGCGTTCGCTGAATTATTCAACGCTTTATACTGAACTGTACTTACGTATTCACATGTTGCCGGGAATAGAATGAAAATATGTTGAATTGATTTTTTTCGAATTTAACTAATTTACTCCATGGACTCACAATATGTTCAGGGCAGGTTTGCGTGAACTGGCACTTGGATATGTACGGGCAATCCAGTGGAATTTGCATTACTACTATCACGGCGTGCAGTCGTGGTCGTGGTTTTTTCCTCAGCACTATTCTCCATTCATCTCTGATGTGACGAACTTCGCTGGATTTGACGTATCATTTGACATGGGTCACCCTTTCCTCCCGTTTCAACAACTCATGGCTGTGCTGCCTCCCGCGAGGTTAGTGGGCGACATTTTATTTCCTTGTTTAACTACTGTGGTTCATTTTTCATTGATTGAATTTCATGAAGCTGATGCCTTGCTTGTGTCATTTTCAGCAAGATGCATGTACCACCAGCTTATCACTGGCTAATGGAGAGCACGGATTCGCCTATCCTTGAATTCTACCCGCAGGATTTCGAAACGGATCTGAACGGCAAAACCCAGGAGTGGGAGTCAGTTGTTCTTATACCTTTTATTGAAGAGGTAAGTTACCGTCTTTTTTTTAATTCGCATACTGTACTCTCTTTTTGAAAATCGATCGACTTCCGTTGGAAAACAGGTGAAGCTTCTTGGTGCCTTGGCACAATGCGAACAGAAACTGTCTGCTGAAGAGAAAGCTCGCAATAAGCACAGTGCTATGGCTTTATTTCAATGGACTTCAGATGATCTGGGGTCTTACGCAGCTCCTGCCCATTTCCCTATGATTGAAGCCAATCATGCGAAGTTGGAGTTGGTTGACCCGAGCAACTGGAAAGTTCCGAAGGATCAACTTGTAAAGGGATTATGTAAAGGAGTCAGATTGGATGTTTATTTTCCTGGATATCCGACTTTCAAACACCTCGATTTTTCAGTGAGTCATCCAATTTTCCAATCCAGCTATTTTTGACATGGAATCTATCTCAATTTTTTTGAGGGACACTGACGTGATTTCAAAGTAGAGATAATTAGGTATTCTGAGTTGAATGTGCTACAGTATATTTTTTAAAAGCTTATTCGAATAATGCTGTTTCTGTTCAATTTTTCTGCAGTTCGCCCTGGAAAAAGCTGAAGTGAAAGTATTCCAGTCCCGTAGTCGTTCAGAAAACATGATTCTGTCCCTGAAAAGTGTGGATGCTTCTGACGTGCGTTCAATTGCGAAAAACCTAACGGGGTCAACCATCTACGTTGGCTGGCCGCATTTAGTTGAGGCACTTGTTCATAGTGTAAGCACTGCTTCTAAGCGATGGCATCTCAGTGAGAACCGCGGAGAAATCGTGGAGAAAGGGCAGAACGAACGGCAGTCTGCGGCATGGGATGCTAGCGTGTCATCTATCGAAGACAAATATGAAAATAGACTTGGCGTCCGCATTGGTGAAACGCAGGTTGTTGTACATGCGAAGCAAGTCGTGGGTCGGGTTTATTCAGTCGATCGGAAAGGCAGTGTGACCCTGGATAAGGTTTATGCAGAAAATGCGGCAGACTTTTCGTTACAAAGCATTGTACGTGCCCTCAAAGTGCAAGAGAACGAGTGCAAATTGTTCAAATCCATCAAAGAACTCTTCCCCGTGAAAAGCGTATGCTTCATGCTTACGTCGGAATATTACGGTTCTTTGGCTGTGGTTGTTGATCACGATCTGGGTGTGAAACAACGATTGAAAATGAAGCTGGCCCAGCTTGCAGAACCCGTGGTGAACATTGCTAAAGTTACTGAACAGCTACCACTCGAAGAATATTATACAGGTAAGTTCGATGTATTTGTGATGAATTAATGTAACTTCGCTGTTCTCAATAACGTATTAAATAATTTGAAGAATAACTGTCATTGGTATTGAATGGTTTTAGACTCTTGAGTTGCATGATGAAAAAGTACTGTTCTTCCTTCCGCTCCACTTCAAATCAAAATCTTTGTTACCTAATATAGAAACAGAGTGTTAACACATCAGTGCCCAGGAATACTCGGTACTTCAAAAAAATCAAGAGAAGTCTTTAATGCAGCTGCTAAAACATTTTTTATCATCAGAATTTTTTTGCCAAGTAGAAAGCAATGCTCATTTTAAGGGAAACAACGTTTAAGGTTATTTTCAAAAGAATCTCGATTTAACGAAATTTTTACTCTTCTTTTGGTTTCCCCACGTTCGTTATTATGGGATCCAACCAGTATACCGTATATATTTACTGCTTGTACAGAAAAGTTGAAGACGTTAAAAAAATAATAAGAAAGGAAAGGGTTGAACGTTTATTCAAAGGTTAATTCCGTTTTTAAACTTATTTTGGTGCTGGAAAATTGGTTAAAATTTTTCTGGGCCACTTTGTTAATGGAGTTATTGATTTTTCTAATCGCATCAATATATCATTCCATTTGATACTTGATACTGCAGTGTTCAATTTTGATTTTGAACAGCTTATCAAATCGGCCAGAGGGTGAGATTGTCGTCCCATGTGGTTTCGCGTCTCACGGGAACTGTGTTTTTGAACATCACTCCGGAAGCTGAGGGCGACAGGCCGATGAAAATAAACATTGGACTGAATTTAAAACTCAGTAAGAAGAATACTGCAGCTGTTGGATATGTTCGACGAAATCCGGATTTAGGATGGTCGTATTCTGCTGCTACTGCCGAGGTCTTGAAGGCTTACATGGACGAATGGCCTGTCGTAATCGATCATATCACGAGGAGTTCTGGCAATGATGTTTACGACGATATAGACGTCTTCAGAACTCAGCCGTAAGTCGCCTGAATGCTTATTCGAACCGCCGCTTTCCTAATTGAGTAGCGAATATCTGGACAACATATTTTTAGTGGCCTTCATGCATGGAAAGTAACGATATGTACAGTATACACGTATAATTTCTTGGCAATTGTTTTAGAGCTAAAAAAAATCTGGTTCGTGAATCGCTTCGCTCAAAATGCTATTGTATTCTGCTTTTCGAGGCCTTGCGTGATTATTCGTCGTACCATCAAATTCCGGCAATGTATGCATTTTTCTTTTTCTCATGTTATCTGAGTTTCAGGTCCGCGCTGTCGTAGCCTAACGCATGAATACAAATTCTGAAAAATCCTTCGCCCAACTGTCCGAGCTCTCATTATCGTCTGAGTACATATTATTGGCGTGCGTGTTTTATTTTTCATTTATTCAGGAGAGAACAGGCCTTAAAGTTGAAATCATGGTTGGAGGCTCAACCATGCGCGTCAGCTGATCGTGAAACTTGTGGCTCTCCTTCTGTTCCTTTGGGCGTGATCAAATCTCTGGATAAAGCCGTCAAAGAAATGAAACTGCGCTGTACTGAAGAAGCACCACATATGATTCGTATTACCACTAAGCCACACCTAGTTTTCAAGGTATGTTTGTGGTTGTTTTCGCAATTGTGGTAGGATTTATCATGGTTGGCGGACTGCATGTGATGGAAAAGCATCATTCGCTTTCCCAATTTTAAGTTTTTAACACTAAATTTTCTTTTCGTATTGTACGGAAATGTTGATTTTGAACTTCTTTCTAGCCAAGTGAATACATTGGATCTACGCTTCCAGACCCAGGCACTGAGTTTGCCTTGTATGATCGGGTTGTGAACGTACGGGAGTCTTTCACGGTTCCATTGGGAGCAAGAGGTTTCATCACAGGTGAAAATTCAATACAGAATTCGTCTCATACTGTTGCGTCTAGATTTTTCTTGAGACACGATTTTTCAAACGTTTCTGTTTTCGTCAGAATCCGTTTATTTCCCATATACGTACCATGAGCAATGTGTCCTGCTCCGTTCGATGAAATAAGATTGTCTAAAACTTATGCTGAATTTACGCTGCGTTTTCTCTAATATGAAGTTTTATTCTTCAGGGATTATCCCAGGACTGAAGGAGTGCGACACCATGTACGAGATTATGTTTGATCATCCCTTCAGTGGAGGTCTATCTGGAGAACGGTTTTGCGGCGACGAGAGAGGCTACAGAATGCTTGGAAATTCACTTATCAATATTACATGGGGATTGGAAAAGTGGCACAGGAACAACTCGCCGCCCTCACAGAATACTTGGGATGGAAAAGCGAAGTTGAACGGTATGTTAACCACGCTTAATCAATCTTGATCGTCTGTGCCAATTTCCTACTATGGAAGTTCAGTAATAAATAATTTCAATCATCCAGAACGCTTGAACATTTTTTTATTGTATGCCGCGTTGTCTTCTCGTTGCCGCACATTTCGAATTTCTGATATCAAAATCTGCCTTGCTGTGTACTTAGCCCATCGAAAAAAATAAAAAAATATTCTATCTCACCCTTTTTCCTGTGTCAATGTGGCGCTTGAGTGGGTTTTGTGCTTCGAAGTCTTATTTTATGAAGATCGGAGTATAATTTTTATTTGTATGGTATTGTTATTGCTAGTGGTAGATGAATTATGGTGGTGATTTCTGAAATTCTCAGGTAAATCTGACGAAAAGAATGTGTGGACAAACCGAGTCTTTGCGAAGGAAAAGCTCAACAATGAGCCTACGGGATCTTCAGTCGCCTCGCCACCGCAGCCAAGTAGTCCGAGAAAGGCTGTAAAACTTTCTGCAGTTCAACCAGGAAAGCCTTCTGGGTTTGGACCTGCTCTTCTACCCACGCCCAACGTAGCTCCATTGGTAATGAGTCATTATAGTCGCACTGCGTCACCACGAGCTACTTATTTTACAAATCCAAATGTACAACATTCGCCTGACCACCGTCATGAATCGAGAGCACCCCCACGTATGACCCAGTTCGAGTATCCTTCGGAAAATTTTGCGAATTTGCAATCTCAGGCCGAACAGTACCAGTGTTTTAGTTCTGGTTGGGGTTTCCCCCAGTCAAGTGCGAATGTTGCTGCTGTTAACCAGTTATGGAATTACCCAGCTTGGCAAAATGTCCCCAATCCATACTTGGGCCCGGTTGGTTATGCACTAGAGCATGACCCAGTTTATTTTAATCAATATTTTTCGAATTATTTTTCAAATCCGATGTTACCCCCGGAAGGGCAAAATGTTTATTTCCCTACCCTCAATCGGGCAGTAGTGTGGTTACCCTCTGAGCAATACGCTTCTCCAAAATAGCGTTGTGTTCTGAAAATACGGACCTAATCCAGAGTAATTTCAGATGATAAATTGGGGAAAGATGCTGTCATTCGTTCGAATGATGTTGACATTTTATATACGGGTGATTTTACTTTGGCTTCGCAGAAAATATTGTGCAATATCTATCTACTGTAGTTCGTTGACACGATTTTGTAAATTCCAGTTTGTGTACCCTTCAGTGAAAATGGAAAGTGTTATGGGGTTTGCGTATCTGTTACTTTCAAAAACTGCGTTTTTTCCCTCGTAGATTGTCCCGCGTTGAGAACCACTTTATTTTGTTGAATAGACGAAGTTGAACGGTGGCATCAGAGTGCTCAAGTGTGTTTTCGTTTTTGTGTTAGAGAGAACTCGCGACACCATCACACGACGTATCCGTTGCCATAGCAAGCAATAGCCGCGAAGGCAAGGATATCACGGATATTTTAACGAAGCTAGTGACGCCCACACGGCCGAAAGTAGAAAACGTGAGTACCTCTTGTTTGCCTTCGAAGAACAAAATGTGGACGAAGCTTTATTTTAGTAACTTGGAACTTCCAATTTCCTGATTGATAGTACAATTCATACGTTTTTATCTCGCCCGATAACCAACAGGATTGGGGAACGGTTAATCCGACGTGCTTAACTAATGTTTTACTGCGTGCAAAGCATTGATAGAGGTTTCTCTGTATGAAAGATGGGATTGTTTTGGATATCTTCTGCAGTTTCTACGAGCGCTTAAATTTCCTTCAACATCTGAATGAGACATTCGTAGTTACTCCGCTTTTTAGACAACCATTCAATTTTTCTTAGACAACAGCATCGCCAGTGACTCAACGATTTGCTGCCAAAGAGCAGCGTGCAGAGGCCTGTTTGGAATTATTTCCTGGGAATCCGATGAATGCGTCAAATCGCAAGGTTGAAAACTCGTCTTCGGATTCCATAATGAATCAAAGTGCATCGTTCACGGTTGACCAATTTTTCAAGGTTTGTCTCATTACGTTTCTTTCGTTAAATTATTGTTTTGACTAATTTTGAATTCAACCTCATTTGCTCTAGCTGATAGAAAATTCACCCAAAGCTGCTCCTCCTGTACCTGCTGTTCCTGTGGAGCATGTAGAAACCGAGAAAACGAAAGTATCTGCGTATACGACGTTCATGGAATTCATCGATCGTCAAGGTGATTTATTAGAGAAATTTATTGATACTGTAATTTTTAATTTTTCTTTTTCGTACGGATCCAGTGAACAAGAATCTTTCAACTCTAAATTTAGGTGGCAGGAAAAGTTTTATTGAGGTTCATCATCTAAAGTTAATTTTGATTGGTTTAATTTGGAATAGACTAATTTACAATATAACTGCAGCTCCTCATTTTCTTCCTCGAGTGTACAGTATTTGCCTCTCTTCACCTTTTTTAACAGATACTTGGCTTCTGCATCATTGGATGTAAAATTAATATTCGTGAAATGAAGGATATCATTACCAGTATGAGAAGTAATTTTACACGCTTCTTTAATATTTTCGTGTGACTTTCTTGTCTCTTCAGGATTCCGAATTGAAGGGAGGAAAGTGTTCGACGAGGACGGCAAAAAAATTGCGAAACTAGTCTTGCCCACTGGGAAGATTGTGGTCGGAGATCTGAAGCCCACTCAAGAGGAAGCATTGGAATCCGCTTCTCTACGTGCTCTAGAAGAAATGCGAATTTTGCATTCCAGTGGTTGCATTGTGGAGCAACAAGGCTCAAAAGTACCATTCCCGGAGCCACCGGATGTTCCCGAACATGACGAGGACTTTTTATCCATGCTTACTATACAAAATAGGGCAGATCTGTGCGGTCCATTAGAAGGGGTCGACTTCTCACAGCCTCCCCCTGTTACACCACGGACTGGGACGAATTTCCCGCCTGCACCGAAAACTTCCTCAGGTGCTTTGAATGCATTTTTAAATTTTATTACCCCGTACTAGCGCATGAATGGATCATTATCTCTTCATCCAGTACACTGATTACAAATTTTAATATTGGAACAGCACAGTATTCTGTCAACTTATAATGGCATTTTGAAGTTCAGTCATCTCGTAAAATTCAGAAAAGCGATTTTATGAGATGACTGGTCCATTTTACTATATATCCCAGAAATATTTCCGTGTAAAATCGGATTATATAACTTCTTGCAGCTGTTCTCAATTCGCGTCCTTGTGTAGTTTCCAAGGTCTCCGCAGCCATTCGTGGAAATGAACGAATAGGCTAGAATAACGAGAAAAAACGAAAACAAAAGAATATTTTTTTATGTTTGTGCATGTGAGGCGATGTCGTATGATAGAGGCTTATAACGAGGAGGTTGGAAATACCACTTCAGTAACTCATCGGGGAGACCAACAGAGGACTGTAATTAACTTCGGGGCTTCTGTCGTAGAAATAGATCCCGAAAGGGTTCCGCGGGACCAAAAAAAAAAAAAAAAAACTGCGATTCGCTGTCAAGGGTCAATTGTCCATTTGAAAATTTTATGACGAGTCGCTCAAACTTGATTATATTATAATTTTTTATGAAAAGGGAAATACTTGGATGACCTGGAGGAAGTGTTTCAAGCCTCATCATCTCCTACGATCGCATCGTCTCCCGCAGCAGCGCGTACAACACCGTCGAAGATGCCGTCTGCATTTGTCCCGTTGCAAGTGCTCAAACAAACAACGCATATGCCGTCTAGTTCACCTCCCGTAGCCGCATCCAGTCCGTTGTCTGTTCGCACGAAGTTATCTTCGTCTAGCTCGGAATTATCTGGCTCAACCCCACAGGAGGAACCGAGAGCTGCCCGGGTGAATTCTCTCTTTGCCGTGCCCGAAGGATTCGACTTACGACCAAAAATTCCGGAAAAAAGCAGAGTCGCGATCAATTTCACTGCACTTCGGTCACTTTGACTGACCTGGATGTAAGGAGAGCACGCTCGCGTTGTTTTTGTTGAGGAGTTGCGCCACGATCGGAAGCGTAGTTTTTAGTCGACACTCAAGTAAGGACTTTTTTTATTGCCACCCTCCGTTTGACGTCATTCGAGATTCGTAAATGAATGGAAAGCGGCCATTCGATGTTTAATGATAAATATCTTTGAAGCCTTTCCTTGTTGGTGTTCAATGATCTGGAATTGTCTTGTTCCTTCTTTTTTATTTTATTTCGAACGGTGAAGATTGTGCTTGAATTTTTCGGCTGTGCCGATCGAAAATTAAATATCAATTTACAGAATTCCCCGTGGTTGTGTCATTCCTGCGTCATGGTTTTGATTTTTCAACTGTTCATGAATGCATTTGTTCCCTCTTCAGTCACCAAAAGCGAGTTGTGCTATCATTTTATGTGCCTCTTCGTAGGAAGTGTTTAGAAATGTGATATTTCAAGCCTACCTATTGGGATGCGCAAAGCTATGACGTCTCCCGTGTTGGGCAGACCCGTTCAGGAAGGTAAGTAAATTCGGTGGAATTGATAGGAGATTATTCTAATAATTTTAATTTTTCCTTCTCTTGGATCTAGGGGACACGGGGAAGGTAGGTCATTCCATCTTCAGTTTTCAGGATACCGCTTCGAACGGGTTGGCATTAAATAAGGACAGTACTTGCGTAGTGGTTGCTGGGCGTCACAGTGAGTTTTTATTGATTAATGCGTTTCTTCGTGAATTTTCATACAGTTTTTCGTATCAGTCTTCAAGATATTTTCGATCAGAGAAGATGTTTTCGAGGAGAAGGCGAATTTGAGAACAGGCAAAAATATGAACTTAAATTTTTCGTGCAATGATGTAGCCTGGAATTGCATTGATGGTGCGTACTACTTTTGCTACAGATATTTTCCGTAGGTAACCCTTTCCGTTCATCTTCGTAAACTCGCTAGATCATTATCTGGCTACCGCTGCGACGAATGGATCGGTTGTGATTTGGAATTTATTGAAGCCTGCTCGATCGAAGCAGGAACACGTTTTTCAAGACCATTCGCGTACTGTGAACAAGGTGTGCTTTCACAATTCGGAGGCGAACTTATTGCTGTCCGGATCTCAGGATGGTACTATGAAACTATTCGACATCCGACAGCTCTCTGTCGCCCTTACATTTTTCAGGTATGAGATGTCAATCATGTCATGCTAGTTTTTTATCCATGCTTGTAGAGTACTACAAAAAAATGCATTTTGTACAGTTCAAGAACAATGAAGCAAGACAAGTTTTGGCAATGGCATTAGTTGACCGTGTCAAAAGCTCTTGTCAGAACTAGCAAGTTTTCTTAGAGTCTTTACAAAATTATTATTGTAAATAATAATAATATTATTATTATTATTATAAAGATATAATATCTTTATTATTTTCAAAACTGTCCCCTGTCTTCTCAATTATGTATGAAACAATTTTAAAATGCCAGAAACCCTAAAAAAACTTTCTGTGTTGACTTCAAGAATGCACAGTCTCCGTCAACACGCTAGATGAAAGAGTATCTTGCACATTTAAAAAAATGCTAAAAAGCTGGTTTTGCCTGTGGTATTAAGTGTGTCAAAAATTCTTGCCTTGTCAGATGTACTGCCTGGCTTCTTTTCTGGCTGAACCTCTCAACTTGGCTTGTCAATTTTATCTCCAACTGCATTTTGATGTTCAAGAAAAGTTAGAGCTTCAAAAACCTTTCAAGAAATTCTCTGTCAACTTCAAGAACTCATTCTTTTACACGTGACACAGAAAGAAAATGTTTGAAGGAAAAATTGTGGCGACAGATTTGAATTTTCTCTGGGATATACAGTGTACAGTACTGTATAGGTACTGTCACTCTTGTTTGTTGGCTAATTGTTGCGACAATAACGAAGCCTTTGGATAATTCAATGACCTGGAATAATTGTTCAGACAAGAAAGAAAAGAAGCCAATAATTTCTGGAAAGGGATATAAACATAAGATATACAGGAACGAAAATAATAGGCATGAACTGCTTTATCTACTCTGCAAAAATACAAAGAAGCACTGGATTAAAGCGACGATCGCTGTGAAATCGTCTAAGGGCTTCGGAACTCCGCCATGGTTGCAGTACATCTTCAATGTGCAAGCTTCTACATTGAAGCTGTGCATGGAGAAGAAATGTGTGACATTTTATAGTAGTGCAAAAATAAAAAAAAGATTCGCATCGTCCACTTCCTAACGAAATTTCCTGAAATGATAAGTACTGTATACAATATTGATTTACATTATGTATATACAGTATACTGTAGCTTGAGAAATATCTCAAGTAGAACGCAATGCATCTCACCTTTAGTGAGTGCGTCAAGAATGAAACGAGTAATTTGATCCCAAGCAGATGTCGCTGCTATCACGTTACTAGTTCATTGAAAAATCGGTTATTTTATGTTGACTCATGATACGTTTTAAAGTCATAAAGAAGCTGACGATTTTTCTTCCCCTTAAAATAAGTATTCGCATATAAAAACCTCAGCTCAACTTGACTTTCCTTTCAAATCTCTATAACTCAAATTGTCATCGGAGGCATTATTTTTGGGCTTTTATAGTTTTATTCTATTGATCCAGTAAACAAATACTGTGCAAGCAATAAAAATTGCACCACAAATATGTAATCTGAATTAGTTGTTGTATCCGGGGTATGTTTACAATGTTTTTTGGTTTGGTTTGAGAGTGATGAAAGAAAACAGCACACACAAAATTTTGCAACCAGGAAAGCATTCAAATGAGAGCAGGATAACTGCCGCCAGAAAGAAATGTTAATTTTACAATGCTGTAACTAAAGAACAAATTCAGCAGTTGAACAGTGGAAACTAGACAAGCAGTTAGAATTTGATTTTTTGCAGCTTCTTACAGCTGGATATCATTTGTTCAATTGATTCTACTCAATCCACAGAAAACCCGTATTCACTCCCTTCATCTTGATAAAAACCTTTGAAAATGTTGTGAAAGCCTTTGCTGGTCTGATAATTTTTCAGATTGACATGTTCATTGCAAATGCAATTAAATGATTTTTCACAGTTCAGGGTCATAATACTACAGTATTTTGAATTTTTTCCTGGAACCAAAATTTTTGGACCAAATTTTAGCTTTTTAACGGAAGGATTTTTCCTTGAGGACAAAAAATCTTTAACCAGGGTCCACTGAATAGGGTAGTCCCAGCAGAAATTGAGCATCAAAATTGAAAAAAATTTAAAGAATGTTTTTGATGATGCACCTGATCCTAATACTCTGTGTCCACTATGAAATTTACGTGAAATGTTTGGAAGGATGTAAACAAATACTTGAGTTGAAGATATTTATGAATCACAAACCGAAATTTATCCCTAATTTTTGACTGCGCTGTCGTAGTACATACTGTATATCAAAACTTGACATCACCCACATTTCAAGTTAATCTACGCATTGCAAAGCATTAAAATTTTAGAAAAAAACATTCTTTCCCAAAAGCTTCTTCGAAAAAATCTGTTCTAGCAAAATTAATAGCTGTCTTTATTGATTATGATTTACTTTTTATTTTGAAAAAATTCTGAAAAATCAAATGAACTTTAAATTTTATTAGTAATGAGTTTCAATGTTAATATTTAAACGAGCGCCTCTTCTTAATTGAACAAATATTAAATGCCACATACTGTATATTGAATATTTCAATGGAAGTCCGAAAAATGAAATTTTGGAAACAGAATTCCGAATTTGGGAATCCTCATGCTGGATTATTATTTTTCTATGTAAAGAATGGATATCACGACTCAGTAAAGGAGCAATTGGAATGACAGAATTTTATCTCCTGAATACTATACGAGGCTTGTCCCACTTCTACTTTGCCTTGGATATTTCTTGAGTAGGTACCACTCTAAAAAATTATATAATGTAGCCCATGCAATAGTAAGGCTCTGGGATTTTTTCAGATTTTTGCGCAAATTTTTAGATTTTCTAAAAATTAGAGTTTCTAAATTTTTAGATTTAATACTACTGTATAGAAGAAAAAGATTTTGTTTTGGTGAGAGTTCTCCACCCATGTCACAAGCTATTGAAATTTTTTCATGCCTGACAAAAAATTGAAACTTTTATGCTGTTTTTATTGTGAACTTTCCTACATTTTCCTGAATTTTGTCAATGATTATTTTGTTTGAAAGAAATGAAAACCTATGTGCATTTTGGATTTCTCCAAGAAGAGGGGTTCATTTCCATTTTTTAAAATCTCCTCCTCAAAAACATCCCAGGCCTAGTTTCTGCCTGTGCTATCTTTTTCTTGTTGAATTTAAATTTTATGAAACTTCCGCTTATATTTTTTTTCTGTTTACATGGAAGAAAGGATATCAAAGGAAAATGGGGTGTGGTCCCTTAGATCTTGTCCCCCTCCCCCACCCATCAATGGATTTTTCAGTGATGGGTGGGGGAGGGGGACGAGATCTAAGGGACTTGGACAGACGTCTCCGTACCCTGCTTTATGACCTTGAGGCAGAAGATTTAAAGAAAAAAACATAGAAGTTACATAAATTTTGAGGTAATAAGAAAAATATCAATGGCAAGAACTAGGCCTTGGATGATGTTTTTGAAGAGGAAATGAAAAAAAAATTGGGAATGAGCCCCTGCTAAACTCACTCCTGGTGAAGTGGGTTTTTCCCCAATTTCTCCATCCTAGTATAGCAGTGGGATCAGTTGATGAAAATTCATTTGTTGGCTCAGTTGAGAGAAATATGATTCAGTGTTGATGAAGAAGCATAGTACAGAGCCAAATAAAAGTCATTTTTGGATAGGTACAGTGGTATAACCGATCAGTCTTTTTTCTCCGCTTATTTTCAGGGTTATTTTCGGCAAAATTAAAAAAAAGTAAAATTATTGTGAACTTGTTAAATTCTCGGATCTTCAAATTTTTAGCAACACAGAAAGTGTCAGAGACGTGCAATTCAATCCGCACTTTGGACATCAGTTCGTCGCTGTATCTGACAACGGAACTACTCAAATCTGGGACTCCAGACGTCCGGACAAAATCGATCGTCAATTCACGTCTCACTCCGGTCCTGTGTTCGCCTGTGATTGGCATCCACTCAATCGATCGTGGCTGGCGACTGCTGGTCGGGATAAAACTATAAAAGTTTGGAACGTCGACCAGAAATGTGCCTTGGAGCATACAGTGTGGACAATCGCATCCGTAGGACGTATCAAGTGGCGTCCGCAACGAAATTTCCATATCGCAAGCGCGGCGTTGGTCGTCGACTGCAGCGTGAATGTTTGGGACGTACGACGCCCTTACGTCCCTTTTGTGTCGTTTATTGAACACAAAGACGTTTGTACGGGTATCGCATGGCGTGGTAGTGATCCTCAGGTGTTCCTTTCATCCTCGAAAGTAAGCTTTGGTTCAATCCTCACAGTTCGACAGATTTCCATATGTAAAAATCATGTTTTCTTGTGTTCTTTTTTATTTCTAAACTTTGCTCGATAATTTTATATTGGCAAAATGCGTGCGCGCTTTCTCTCCGAAAATCTTTTTTCGCGCACAGCAAAAAGTTCAGCAATCTTTGATTCTAAGCCCAGTTTTTGATGGGTCGAGAACTGCGTTCAACCCATTTCGATCCTTGAAAAAATTTGTGTTCAATTTTTTTTTCTAAAGAAAACTTGTTTCTTCTATCTCAACTTCAAAATCTTACGCAGGACGGGTACTTGTGGCAGCACTCTTTTGAAGACGGCAAGTTACCTTCCGAAAAAACGAATCCTGTTGCTTTGGCCTTCGGTGTTCAAGATGATTTAGCTTTCGCCGCTATCGACCAATCTGTCAAGGATCTTGTCAACGCAAATGGCCTTGGTACGTACGTTGTATGGAGACGAATGCCAACAATGGAAAAAGTGCCCGATTTGTCATTTTCTTCGATTCTCGTATCCGACTGTGACTAATTCGTCGTCGTGTTTTTATTTTCTAGCTACATCAGTAGGTCGAACCATGATCGGGAATATCATTACAAGGTGAGTTATACATGTTTCAGTTGTTTTTTATTCACTGGAAACAGTTGATGAATGCATGAAAATCAATTTTATCATCAACTCCGTATACTCAGTTTTTCTTATGTGAATATCGTGATTCGCAAATATTTCGCATGACTCAAGAAATGAATAGTTATTTCTTTGAGTCATGCGGAGTAATGCTTACTTTTCCAGACAAGATTTTTTTTTCTTGGGATCCTTGTGGAAACTTTTTTATACTTCTCTGTCACTTATGTTCCCTGTATGCTTTGATTTTTGAAATTATGAACTTCTTTTTCAGGACAAAATCGGGTGCACCAACTGAAATCTTTGTTAGCGCCAGAAGTTCTTTCAACTTTTTCGGACTGCAAAAAGAATCTTCAGCTGCTCAAAGGAATTCTTTCGTGGGAATAGCGGAAGGCTATATTTTAGCGGATCATTCATTCGCAGAACTTTGTGATCACAATGCCTCAATCGCCCGCAAATACGGAAAAGAGCAATCAGCGCTGACCTGGCAGATATTTAAATTGTTGTTTGACGTCAGCGAGAACATATGTTCAAATCCAGTGAGGGACGTTATGATGAAAAGTGAAGAGCATTCGGGTGTACCCTCGGGTATGGGAAGTGGCGATCCGGAAAAGAGATCCTTGCGTCACGCATCTGGAGATAATAAGTCCACGGTGGAAAGTATTGTGACGAGAAATGAGGTTTCACAATCCCTGCTGAATGGCCCGTCTACAAGTGGTTCTACTCCTGGTGAACAGAGCGATTCTGAAGACGGCGATTTAAACAAACAGGATCTGTCGAACTTTACTTAGTGAGTACTCAGTGGAATTTTGGATAATGATAAAAAAATCTGCTTTGACTCCTGGGGAATTTTAGACATTTGTATAGGCACGTAGTCTTCGAATTTTCTTAAATGTCAATAAGCAGTGTAGTTTCGTGATGTTTGTTCATTCTACGGTTCTAAACATTATTTTCTCGAACAGATGTCATTGAGTTATTGATAATCGTACACATTTGTTTTTTAATTCAGTATACTGTAAATTTCTCTTCTGAAGCGCACTTGAGCGTCAACGATTTTATTATTTTCTAAACTTGTAGTGTCAGTCACGCCCAAATGGATGATTTATTCCATGTTGGAGAACTTGAACTTGGCGTTGGTCCATACATCGAGTCAGCTGAGGATGAGTTCAATGGACAAGATGTGCCCGAGGAGTGGCAGCTTCCGGTTGAAGCATTTGAGTTGAAGCAAGAAATTGTTCCTGTCGTTGACCCACTGAATTCCGACTCTACGGTAACTTTTCCGGACCCATCCTTGTCCTTGTCTCAGGTCCCGTTACTGACACCTGGTTATGATATCATGGGATTGACCGAGAACACGGATGGTATGCATTCTCTTCAGGCATTAGTGACATCAAATGTATGCTGTAATTGGCTTTTTTGGTTTAGGAGGTTCATCTACCTTTGTTCAGCCAGCTACACAGGTGCTTGTGGATGCTGGCCGTGATCCACCTTGGGATTTTCTTCCGATTATTGCCAAAAGTCTCGAACATTTCGCAGAACAGGGTGATGTTCAAGCGGCAGCTTCCATGCTATTAGTTCTTGGATCCCGAATCACGAGTTCTATTCCTGAAGCTATTCAGGTAAGATATCATAGAAGAACCTTCGCGAAAGCAGCAGTTGAATCACTTGAAAAATCTTGAATTGTTGTAAAGTTTTTTCTACGGTGAAAAAATTGAGTACCCAGTGGTGATCCCCGTTTGACCCCGCCGCCAAAAAAGGGCCTTTCATTCCCAGGCCCCATTAAGAGGGCTGCAGATTTTGTCTCGTCTCAGCCCCCAGCCCCGTTTCACTTCTTCTCCCGCCAAAACAGAATTTTACATATACTGGGGACGTGAATTCTACCGTCCACTCCCTTCATAACAAGGCAAGGGTTTCCTTACCCAAAATCCATGTGTATTGATGCACATTGGTACACAGGAATTACTGTATCATGAAAACNCATGTTGGGAAGTTTTCAATTTCTCTTTTGTAAGGTACTGTGAATCCTATACAGGACCAAGGTAAAAGGGAAGCAGGGATTAGTAGATGACAAAAGATTTATCAAGAAAAATACAATAGAAAACCAGTGGAAAAATGAATCAGTCTTCATCCCTTCTCAGTGCTGCTGGGATATTTCTTGAGAATTTGAATGGCTTCATGAGAAAAACCCTATGACAACATTGATAGAGAAATTGCAGTAGAAGAGACAATTGATAAGAAATATTGTGCAGTGCAAAAATTCCAATGTAACAAAGTGTCTTGTCAAACTCATGCTCATTTTTGAATAAATGTATTTGATTTAATAATTATATTTCATTTTCAGCTTGAAAATCCCATAATGCCAAAACTCACAGAGGCCTGAAAACTTTGCCGGGTACAAAAATCCAGCAGAAACAAAAATCCCAAAAACATTGATTATTGCATCAAGAAAACCCACTTTGCTACGCACAACAGGCAATGAAGTTTACAATTGAGTTACAAAGTCAAATTAGGTTACAGCAAAAAAAGGACTGCTATTGAAAAAAAAATCACAGAAAAACCAGATTATCTGGAGTGAATAAATGAATTTGGCACTAAATAAATTTTGAAGTTATAATTGACACAAGTTTTTGAATCAGTGGCAAGGGAGAACTGTAATAATCATCAGGAAAGTACACAGCATGTACTCAAATAAAAAAGGGATGAATGCTAAATGAAGGCTAAATTTTTCTAAGGCTCTAAACCTTTGAATCCTAAACCTTCTATGCCCAAAGCTTCAAAAGCATTGGAATGGAAACCAACACACTTCCAAAAATTTTTAATCTGTTTGATGCTTGTGCATTTTGAAACAGTTCAAAGCAAAACCCAGACGTAACTTTAAAAAATCTGGTAGGACACAGGATTTTTGTACCTTCAATTTTTTATTTTTTTTCCTGTTCAATTTTTTTTGCACATGCTGAGTACTTTCCTGATGATTATTACATTTCCCCCTTGCCACTGATTGAAAAACTTGTGTCAATCATAACTTCAAAATGTATTTAGTGCCAAATTTATTTATTCACTCCAGATAATCCGGTTTTTCTGTGATTTTTTTGTACAATAGCAGTCCTTTTTTTGCTGTAACCTAATTTAACTTTGTAACTCAATTGTAAACTTCATTGCATGTTGTGCATAGCAAAGTGGGTTTTCCTGATGCAATAATCAATGTTCTTGGGATTTCTGTTTCTGCTGGATTTTTGTACCCGTGAAGTTTGCTGTTGAAGGATAGCTGATTGAATGCTGAAAATTTGTCATTGAAACCAAAGCAGCTGTGACAGTGATGGAGGGAAATGAATGCTCTGTCTCCTGAATAACCCATTCAACTCCCTTGATCCCTATCCATGGTTAGAATTGTTACCCAAGAAATAATTCAAATCCATGTAATCTCACCTTGAAAATTTTCCACAAACCTTGAGTGAAAATCAGCCTTACAGAGGATGAAAACATGGCTGAATTGTGGCTTATTGCGATGCAATTAGATTCTACCACTTCCATCTCTGGTCTAAGGCTAAAGAAGAATAATTCAAAAAAATGTTTAAAATGAAATCTGAATACATTTCTTTAAAAGGAACATACTTCTTCCATGTCTTTTTGTGACTTCTTTGCGTTTGTAGTCTATACGAGATTTTTGTAGCAACGGGATTTTCGGACCCCGCAAGATTTTTTGGCCTACCAGATTTTCGGCCTCACAGGATTTTCGGGCCGCAGGATTTTTTCTCCTGTGGGATTTCATCATGGAGCCCAAAATTCTTACTCTCCTATCCAAAAAGCTAGTATGGTCTAAAAGACTTCCTCACTCTGGTTTGAAGCATGGGGTTATTATGATGCCTTACCATTTAGTTTTCATGATACAGTAATTCCTGTGTACCAATGTGCATCAATACACATGGATTTTGGGTAAGGAAACCCTTGCCTTGTTATGAAGGGAGTGGACGGTAGAATTCACGTCCCCAGTATATGTAAAATTCTGTTTTGGCGGGAGAAGAAGTGAAACGGGGCTGAGACGAGAAAAAATCTGCAGCCCTCTTAATGGGGCCTGGGAATGAAAGGCCCTATTTTTTGGCGGCAGGGTCAAACGGGGATCACCACTGGAAGCTCAAGTTTGTCAACACAATGCCACTGGGCATACCCGCTTTAATCTTTTTCTACACGTTGCACTTTTAAAGTTCTGGTTTATGCGACGTTGATGACTTCTTGGTTTCCCGTTGAACTTTAATGGTCAATTTTTTTTTTAGGAGCACTGGTGTCACGAGTATATTGAATTGCTCCAGCGTCATGAATTATGGAACGTTTCTACGATGATCATCAGACTTGCTACGAATTTGCCTGTCATCAACACGTTGAATCATCGTTCGACTTTGATTTCAACATCATGTGCAAGGTGTCATAGACCGTCAAAGAGAGTTGGTTGGACCTGTGATTCTTGTCGTAACACGACAAACACATGCTCCGTGTGCCACAAAGTCGTAAAAGGGTTGTATTTGTGGTGTCAAGGGTGTTCTCATGGTGGTCATATCGCGCATATGCAAAGTTGGTTCAAGAACGAAATGGAATGCCCGACCGGCTGTGGTCATTTCTGTGAATTCGCCTGATGAATGGACAATCTGAATTCAGTCCGTTTTTTTTTTCTTGCTTAGCATGACGAGTTTTTTTTCTGTTGTTTCGAAGTGCTTCCTGTGTTGCGAGCGTAATTTTCTTGTGATCTGAATCATTCGCAATTTTTTGTGGCGTCATGAGATATTTTGAGACTGTGATACCATTTATGCCAGAGTTTTATCTTCATTTTGAAATTGGGTGCTGTTGTTTCACTTACTTCCTCTTGTGACCGGAATCATCCTTTTTTTCAAGCATCGTAAAATTGGAATTCTGTTGACAAGAAGAACAGGTTTTAAATTTACGTCTAGGGTTCAGGGCTTGAAGAAAACATCACCTTCAAATTGAACTTCAAAGAAATCAGAGTGGGCATTATGTTTCACAATTCGGGGATTTGCGTTTTACGTGACGAAGAGTATTCCAATTATAGCATTTTTGTTTCGTTCCGTACTTCGACAGTGTGCATCTTTTTTAATGTCTGGAGCAACCCCTCAAAAAGATGCCTCGCATTATTCGAGCATCATTTGAACGCATAATCGTTTTCTGCACGCAAGCAAGATACGGTTACCGGCGGAAGAAGCTTGAAATTTCAGCAAATTTTATCATTTCTTTCAGCTATGATAGTTCAACTATTTATTATTCATTCAGTGAGAAAAGGTGCCCCAAATAGTTCTATTTCGGCGACAGTGAATTCGGAAAAACGGAAATGTCGGACTTGAAGTCCCTCGAACATCCGACGTTGAAGGTGCCGTACGAAGTATTAAACAAAAAATTTCGTGCCGCTCAGAAGAATATCGACCGCGAGGCCTCTTATCTTCAGTCTGCAGTTGCAGAGATGGAACGACAGCTGCAGAGCAAATCCAACGGGGACGTGCTTCCGCAAAACGCGCAGGTTGTGAAACTCATTGACACTATCCTTGAAAAAATCACGACCCTGAAACGGAAGGCGGAGGAAAGTCTCACTGAAGAATGTGACGCCGCTAAACTTTGTAAGGTAAGTGGATGTATCGTTTAGCTGCAATAGCACAAAAGAAAAGGCTGTTTTTTACGTTTTTACATCTTGAATTTCCGATAGAATGACCTTAAGTCTCGACTGTAAAATGAAAGTACTGTATCTGCGATTAGTTTGGAGAAGTTCAGAATTTTGTATGATCTCTTGCCTTTCGTTTAAGTTGTGTATTCCTAGTGCCGTCGAAATTTGCCCTTCTGGACATTTTTCCCCTTACAGTCAAAATGACATACCGTATTTTTGATTACACGACAACTTGCACAACAACAACTCACACAGTGACAACTCCAACAGCGACAACTCACACAGTGGGACAACTCACACAGGGACAACTCACATAGTGCGACAACTCACACACTTCTTCTTTTTTACTGATTTTTCTTTTTTTAATTTACGTTCTGGAAAAAATGTATACCTTTCTTGTGGCAATTGCTGTCAGCCATAAACATGACTGGTGCTCAATTTCTAGAAAGAACATGGATTAATGCATGCATCAGAATTATCCTTGATTAGATTGAAAACAGAAGTATTTAAAATATAGAACATGATAAATGTACACAATTGATTTAGGAAAAAATTATCCTTGACTAGGTTGAAAACACAAGTATAAAAGAATTTATAAAAATTTTATTATAAATGTATACAATTATTCTAGGATAAAGAAAATCTAGACACAAGAAAGGTATACATTTTTTCCAGAACCTAAATTAAAAAAAGAAAAATCAGTAAAAAAGAAGAAGTGTGTGAGTTGTCGCACTATGTGAGTTGTCTCTGTGTGAGTTGTCCCACTGTGTGAGTTGTCACTGTGTGAGTTGTTGCTATGTGAGTTGTCTCGTAACCCGTATTTTTTTAGCATCAAAATCAATTTGTGTCACCAATGAGTTTGTCAGTCCCATTTACAGGTAGTGTTTTTCTCAGTTTGTACATAACATTTAAAGTGCAACCCATGCTCAGCCAAATAGTTTATTTCACTGTAATTGCATACTCCGCCAAATGCGTCATTTCTTTCACATTTATCACCACGATCTTCAGAAAATCTGAATATTTCAGACTTCATAAGTTGAAAGATTTCCCCAAATTTTCAGTTTAGAATATTCTCTCCACTAACGCATCCTTAAATGTTATTCATGATTTTTTTATACATTTTTGCGGGTAAAAAGCGCATCCATGTAATCTAAGCCGATGAAATGATGCGTTGTATTTTTTTAATGGTTTGTTTTTGTTGTACAGTATTCCTTTCTAACTTTTGGAATGAGTAACTTATTTGAAATTATAATTTTTTTTTTTTTTCATTTTTAGATCCGCGTGGATCACTTGTCTGAGATGGATACAACCGATGAAGCGACTCTTGCTGTCTGGAAACAGCGGCGTCTCGACAGAATGCTCGTTGAACATCTTCTCCGCGCTGGTCACTATAATACGGCTGTGCGTTTAGCGCAGGATGCTGGAATCGAAGAACTGACTAACGCAGATTTATTTTTGGTGTCCCGAGAAGTTGAGGACAGTTTAATGAAGCATGAAACCACTCGTTGTCTTGCTTGGTGTCATGATAATCGATCCCGCTTGCGTAAGCTTAAGAGTTCTTTGGAATTCAACGTAAAAATGCAAGAATTCATCGAGCTGGTGAAAAGTGGACGCAGGCTTGAAGCAATCAAGCATGCAAGAAAACAGTTTTCGGCGATGGAAGAAGATTACACTGAAGCCATGAAGCATTTCATGGGCCTACTGGCGATGTCGAAGGACACTCAAGTTCAACCGTATAAAGATATGCTGTCAGAAGACAGGTGAGTGAGGGTTAAATTAACCTACGCGAAATAAGCTTTTCTAAACGTTTTGCGAATCACCTTTAAATCGTCACTTCAATTGGATGCAGTTAAATTTTCAATTTTCGGCCACTGAGTATTTGTTCAAGGAAAACATCATTTACCGTCTGAATGATTGTGTTGTGAGAATCCGTTCGTTCTCGTCATCATCGTACCGTTCGAAATTTTTCTCTGCGCTTTAATTTACAGATGGAAATACCTTGTTGAGCTGTTTCGATCCGACAATCAAAAACTGTATCAAATGTCGAACCAGTCCGTATTCTCTGTGGCGTTGCAAGCCGGTTTGTCAGCCCTGAAAACCCCGCATTGCTACAAGAAGGGCATTGAGTATCGAAACCCCGATTGTCCTGTGTGCCAAGACCCGTTAAACTCTCTTGCCGACTCCCTTCCCTACGCTCTTCGAGCTCGTTCGAAGCTAATCTGCTACATTTCTGGACTACCTCTGAACGAACACAATCAACCTTTAATGCTTCCCAATGGTCATGTGTACGGTGAACTCGCGCTTCAGCAAATGGCCGTAGAAAACGATGATGGAAAGATAATGTGCCCGCGTACTAAGAAAGTGTACACTCTGAAAGAGTGCGAGAAAATCTACGTGATGTAATCAGTGCTTTTTTTTTCGTGATAGTGCGATGATCGCGTTGCTCTTTTAATCATCGCCTTTTTGTTTTTTTACTCCGCTGATTTTTGTCGGAAGATCGGATTTATTCAATTTGAAAATTATCTGGATCAAGCCGAGGTATGTATGAATGCGGTGCTGGTCGTGAAATGAATGAAAAAAAATGAATCTGTGGACGTGTTTATGTTTTTGTCGTCAAACTTTATTTTGGGCGGGTTTCGTTCGGAATACAGTCGCTCCCGTCTTGTTTTTAATCGTTTCAAAGGTGACATTGTAAGTTGTTGCTTGTCTTTGTCTAATCTCTCGTGATTCTGCATTTTTCCTAATCAAGACATGTTAAGCGACAATGGTTCTCGGCGTCAGTGGTCGATCTTTTTTTAAATCGATCGGAGCCTTTAATGTGCGTGGTTTACTTCGCACGTCTTCGCGAAATATGTCAAATATTCAGCCGAATAGTTCTTGGACTGGCGAAGAATTTGAAATACCAGTGCCATTTGGAGTGATAGCAGGTGAGTGTTCCCTAAGGAAGGAATTTTTCATGCAAAACTTTTTTCTAAGGTATTGTCGAGTTTGGTTTGAAATTTTAAAAATGAAAATTTGGAAGCTGAAATTTAAATTCTAGCATATTTTGGCCGAAAAATGTGTTTCTTCGGAACAATTTCGTGGTGTGATTCACTTTTTCCCCCTTGGAGTTTTCGTTATGCAAAGTTTCGTCGCGCGTGTCTTTGCCATACGTATCAGTAAATTATCCTAGATTGTTCCAATCGTTCATATTTTCAGCCAAACGATGGGGACCAAAAAATGGGCATCCAGTTCTCTGTCTTCATGGATGGCAAGAGAACGCTGCCGCATTCGATCGAGTTATTCCGCTGTTGAACCCTGACCTTAACCTCACCTTGACATGTATCGACTTCGCTGGATGTGGATACTCTTCGCACTACCCACCTGGGATTCCCTACTTTGAAATCGACATCATGTTGCACCTCAACCGCATTCGCCATTATCTACAAATAGACAAATTTAGTCTTATTGGCCATAGCCTCGGCGGTGGGCTTTCTCAGCTGTTCGCTGCTACATTCCCAGAGCTAGTCGTTTCTGTGGCCACAATTGACCTCATTCGTCCTGTTTACCGACCTATTGAAACCTACCCGGACCGGTTACGAAAATCGGTAGAAGCGTTCTTGAAATGGGAATACTTGTTGCATGACAAAGAAGTGATTTCCCCGGTGTATTCTCGGGAAGAAGCCAAGGATCGGATGTTGAAAGCTGCTCCTTCGCTTACGCCTGAATCGGCAGAAGTGTTAATGTCTCGAGGATTACGACCTGCCGTGACTCCCGACGGTAGGGAAGGGTTCGTGTTCAGACGAGACCCACGTTTGAAGATTCAGTCCATGTTCAACTTATCTCACGCGCAATTGAATGCATTTTTGGAACGAATCGAATGTCCGCTCTTGTTGATCAAAGGGACGCATGGTCCAAAGTACGAAGGGCAAACAATCCATGAAGAGGTGCTAGCGTTTTTTGAAGAAAAAATAAGCGATTTCACTTACGTGGAGGTTGAAGGCAATCATCATGTGCATTTGAACAATCCGAGCGGAGTGGCCGACGAGCTAAACAAATTTTACGAGCGTATTTATTCGAATGCCGAAGGCAAATCCAAATTGTGATGTTGGGTGCTTGGTAGTTGCTTTCGGGGATTGATTTCCATAGGAAAAATTTCCGTCGCCGTTTTGAGTGCGAAACTTGTTAATATTGGAAAAGAGTTGGGTTCATTCTTGGTTAATCTGATCGAGTTGTTTTTCTTGGGAGTGAGGAATTCACTTCGCTTGCCGAATTTTAAATTTCTATTGACAGATCAATCCGTGCTACCCAACCTCCTTTTTCTGTTGATCTTAACCATGACTTCTTCGTCCGAGGAAAAATTTCGCGAATGTGTGGGTCACACAGAAATCAGAATACCTGTTCCTTACGGTCACATTGCTGGTAAGATGGCAATTTTTGGATACCATGGCCGCTTTTTCCGTCATGATTTGTTTTCCAGCGAAAGTTTGGGGACCAGAAAATGGGTATCCAGTGCTTTGCGTCCATGGTTGGCAAGAAAATGCCAATTCCTTCGACACTCTTGCCCCACTCATTGATTCAAAGTTCAGACTCGTTTGTGTTGATCAAGCCGGCTGTGGATTGTCTTCGCATTATCCAGTGGGGTTTTCCTACACTACCAATGATACTTATCTATTTCTGCACCGGATTGTATCGTTCTTCGGGTGGGAAAAATTCCATTACATCGGTGAGTGTGCGGTATGCGAAGGTCTCAAATTTCGCAAATCCATTCCATTGTTTCAGCGAACACTAGGAGTTCAAAATTTAAAATTATGCCTCTATAAATGTCCACTGGTCTTGAATTATTTTTCTTTCCCCCACGGCTGCATTTATAAATGAATACATGTAAGGATAAACTGGATTTTTTGTGTTTTAAGCAATCATAAGACGCATTCTCGTCTCATTCAATCTCTACAGAATCGAATCTGCCCATGGTTTAATTTCATGAATCTCCGAAAGAGGAATAAATATTTATCGCAGATAAATATAAATATAATAAAACAGATTAAATAATAGCAGATAAATATTTTCTCGTGATCAAACACTCACGACAAAATTTAAGAATTTCGAATGTTGTGCCAATGAACTAAAAATGGAAAGGCAGCTTTTTAAGTTGAATTTCAGACAGTATGCATTCAAAATATGTACACCGTTCTATATACAGTATGTGAAGGTTCAAAATGTTGTGTGGATCAGAAGAACAATAGATCAGCATGATTCAAGTCGCCATAAATATGTTCTCCCGGATTTCTTGAACCAATACTGTACAGTATATCGAAAAATATTGTCTTCTGTTCTACTAAATACGGTCTCTTAATTTTTTTCAGCTTATTCTCTCCATTACATCTAAAATGAATCCTGAAGTAATTCGGTGAAGTTTTTCAGGGCACCTCAAATTTTTCCCCCATGCTACCAAAGACAGGAGGCATTTGATTTATAAAAAATATGCTTGTTAAGTTGTTATTATTCAATTGAATAATCATGCGTACGATTGAAATTATCCTTCGTATCAGGTCACAGTTTAGGAGGAGGAATCGGTCAAAACTTCGCAGCTGTGTTTCCCGAAAAAGTGGACCGACTTGTTGTCTTGGATCTCGTTAAACTGATCGCTTATCCCACGGAAACCCAACCAAAGCGAACTGCGCAGCATGTTTCTCAATACTACCGCCACGAGACCGAAATGGCTACCTCTGAAGCACCTTGCTACACTCGAGGAGAAGCACTCGATCGCCTTCTAAAGGTAGTCCCATCACTTACGAAAGACTCGGGATTGATCCTGCTCGAACGAGGACTAGAACCGATGGAAAAGCGGGGAAGTGATGGCCAGCAGTTGTACCGTTATCGTCGCGACATACGGGTTGCGTTCACGTCTGCGATGCACATGTGTATTGAACAACAAAGACCATTTCTCAAAAGGATCAAATGCCCGATGTTGCTCATCAAAGCCCTAAGTGCTCCGAAGTATGAAGGGGACGCTGTTCATGAAGAAACCTTGCAGTTGTTTAGAGAAAATAATCCCAAGTTTCAGTACGTCGAAATTGATGGGGATCATCATGTTCATATAAATTCTCCAGAAGTGGTCGCTCCACTCATAAACGACTTTCTTCTTTCCATAGATGAAGGCAAAACTGCTGAGTAATGTACAGTAATCTGTTTCATTTTTCTCGCCAATTAGCACTCTTCCTGTGGTACGGTAGCTGCTTCCAGTGTTGTCATATGACAGCAATTTCAGGACTTCTCGTGTAACTTTTAAATGTTTTAATGATATGTTTCATTCGTGATTAGATTCAAAGTTATCGAGTAAAGTGAGGTCTAATTCAGCTGTCGTTCTTCGCACGGTAATTGTTCTAGCGTGATTTTCAGATGACGAAACACTTCGGGACTTCTCATGCAATTTTTAGCTTCCTAAATTGTTGAAATATTCGTTCATCCGTGCATTCAAAGATTCTCTTGAAGTTAGCACAATTCTCGTGGAATGATGGTTAGGGTCGAATAGGATTGAGTCGTCGTTGATTTGACGTACTAATACGCGGTGCGTGTTCAAACCACTAAGGTGGTGATTAGTTTTTTTTTTTTTTTTTGAATTTTGTCGTCCCGCGTATGCGGTACGTGCACCGAAATCTATGGTGCTTCAGTTTTTCTTTCCGAGGGCTGTGGTGAATCACCGTTGGACTTGCCCGTGAGAGATGTTCCATTGTTTTGTTTTTTTCCTTTCACGCTGAAAATGGTGGATGTCCGGTTGCCGCGAACATTTTTATCCTCTCCAAAGCTTTATGATAACCGTCAATCCATGGCGGTTTCAGATTTAGATCGTTTTACCGGTGTTACTTGCCAGAAAAGTGAAGGTTCGTTGATCAGGACTGTCAGTCGTTGTTCGAAGTTGTGCATAGTTTCGGGATTTAAAAGCTATGAACGCCTGAACTCGACTTTTTTTAAACGCTTGAAGAGATTAGAAATTGTTTAATCGTTGATATTTCTTTTGAATGCGTCGGATTCAATCGATGGAGTTCTAGGCGTTTATTTTTATGCGCCACTCGACTCTGTGAACATTCGTCGACTTAGGAGTTGGAAATCTTTTGAGATGCCTCCAACTTCGACTGCACAGGTAAAAATATGTCTACTTCTGATTTTAGTGGTCAGTAGTAATTTTACTTTTTCACTGAAGGTGATCGGAACAAATGACTCGTGCACAGTTTCGAAAGCTTCGATGGCAGCACATGGATATTCTGATGATCCGTGCGTGCAGTTCTTCGTTAGCAAACCCTCAAGACGAGCGCCGCTGATACATCTTGGATATTTTGCTCGGATGAAAGCGTTGGAGCAATGTATTATCAAGTGCCTACAAGTTGTTCGTCAGCATTTCCAGGTGTGTTGAAATTAGTTTGTGTAAGGTTTCTCGAAAGGCTTACGATTTGCTCAAATTTATCCCGGGCACATAAATTCTGTTCGTCCACCTTCAGAAACTCATTGCCCGTTATTATACGGAAGGGCGAAGATGAATAAGTTTGGGATTAATTCATGAAAATCTTGAATCCTGACAAATTTTGAGTTGACGAAAGAATTACAAAAAAAAACCCTTGTCATTTCAGTTTGTGAGATCCACTAGATTAGCTTGACACGGATCTTTTTCTGTGCTCTAAGCAACTTTTCCTGGTCTATTTTTGTCTGAGAAGCTCCAAAAGAAGCCATAGAAAATAAGCCGATGCTCCTTGTATTGCCGAAACATTTTCCTGACGCACTATCCTCGCTCGCAAGTTCAATGTTTTAGCATGTTTTTCTGGACAAAATGGATATTTTCTTGTTTAAATTACAATTCGCATGCTAAAATAAGAAGCATAAGGAAAATATTTTCTGGGAAACTTGTGACTCTTCGTGAAGAAGAGTTTTCTTGGATTCATTACTCGTTTCTATCATTTCTGCGCTACTTCGTGGAATACAATTATTCGGGTCACTCTGAGTCCCTTATTCATATTCGTAATGCGCAGACTTTTTCTCCAGATTCTGTCCCTTGGAGCGGGATTTGATTCCAGATTTTTCGCCCTCAAAGATGCTTTATTGAGAATCAATAGCTCAATGTCATATTTCGAAGTTGACTTTCCCGAAGTTATGAATAAAAAGCAAGTTTTGATCTCTTCAAGTGCCGAATTATCGAAAGGTGCGTATTTCATTGCTGCTTTTCGATCATTTCTCAAATGTTTTATTTTTCAGCTGCACAAACAAATTTTTTCATGTGCAGTGCGGATCTGACTCAACTAGAATCGTTGAAAAAATCATTGGACGAAAAAGAATTCGATCGGATTGCACCAACCGTTGTCATTGCAGAATGCTCAATAACGTATATGCCAAAAAAGAGGTATTTAATCCTTCTGTAGTTATATTTTTCTGCCCGTAGTTGATGCAGACCTTCATTTTCAGTGCTGATGCTGTATTGCAGTGGTTGGCGCAGAATCTACGTGATTCCGCGTTCATTTTATATGAACAAATACGTCCTGATGACGGTTTCGGACAAGTGATGATGAATCACTTTTCGTCCCTAGGAAGCCCATTGCTGAATGTTGCGCATTATCCCGATATCGACAGCCAGCAACGTCGTTTTAAGGATGTTGTGAGATATATACACGAAGAAACTTATTTTGACTCTGTATGAGAGTATAGCGTTATTTTGCAATTTTCAGGGCTGGAACACTGTTGTCGCTTGTGACTTGAGCACATATTGGGACCAATGTGTTTCTTTGAATGATAAAACTCGGATCGGTGCGCTGGAACCGTTTGACGAATTCGAAGAATTTTGGCTTAAATGCATGCATTATATTCTTGTCTCTGCTGGCTGTGGAGAACTCGGAACTGCGATGGCTCTGAATGCGTTTGCGGATAGTCCTGAAGAATCATCAATTCCTGGTAAGTTATAATTCCGTGATGTACAGTACTTCTAGTGTTGAAGTACCGCCCGAGACATCTGCGATTATTTCAAGTTCGAACTCGTTCTTGTGGTTTTCACGATTCTGGAAGTTGCCTTTTCCATTTTATTTTTCTTTTTTAGTTGAAAAAATTTTCCTTGTTCTTGAGGAAAAAAGAGATCTCGTCTTATCAAGATTCAGCCATTGTGCTGCCCAAGTTCGTGAAAAGGTGTTCTTCTTCGGTGGTTTCGGTTTGGGACCCGGTGATCGTCACAGTCGCCTCGATTCCTTCGGCATTTTGAATACTGAGACGTTCAGAGTTGAACCTTGCAACGTGATTTGGAAGGATCCGAAGGTTGCTCGTTTGTCAGCGCGAATGGTGGCAGTTCCACTTGAACAATCGCTGATAATAATTGGTGGTCGGCGTTCGCCGTCGCAACTCTTTCCAGAGGTTTTGAGACTGCGCTGGGAAAACAACGAAACGATTTGTGAAGTTGTCTCAGTTAATCCGCTCGCCGAAAGATGGCGACACGTCGCCTGCTGGATTTTTCTTAGTGATGCGGTGCAAGGAATATTTGTTCACGGTGGCAAAAATTCAGACCAGGTGACTTTTTATCCTGTTCCGATATTTTTTCAGGGTTATCCGTCATTTTGTTCTTCAATATTCAGGTGATTTAAATTTGGGAATTCTTATTTAAACTTGGACTTTTACTATGGTGCTATGTTGCAGAAAGGCAGCTCAAGTTGATTGGGAAAGACTGTTGTACACCACTGTCTTCGCAGAATTGACCAAAATTTATTGTTAGTTGTTCGGAGACACTTGGCTGCTTACGAATGATTTCCAAAGCTGGAAATCCTTGAATGTCGAAGTTGGGCAGCGGCCATGTGCCAGACATTCTCACTCAGTTTGCTGTGACGACGGTGTTAACTTTTCAAGCGTATTCATTTCCGGAGGAATCGGTGAGGATCATCACATCCTCTCCGATGTGTGGAAGTTCAGTGGCTTTGATAAAACTTGGAAAATTTTGAATATTCACGGTTTGCAAGAAAGGTTTGTTTTTACGCGTTTTCAATCGCTTTCCCTTGGAATAATAATTTTTATGTTATTTTCCTTAGATTTGGTCACACATCGCATGTGTACAAAAATCGCCTGTTTTTCGTTGGTGGAGTCATTCCTTCAAGTAATTATTCTCCCGGCGTGTGCATCGTTGATTTAGAAAGTCTCAACGCAACTGAGATTTTACTTGGAGTAAGCATTCTTTCATCTTCGAACGAATTCTTCTTGTGACCGGTTTATTCTTTGTTTCTAGCCGTCTCCATTAATGCTCATTCGGCATCAAAGTGTGCTAATCGAAGCTACAGAAGAAAATGCTGCCGCAAAAATCTTGATTTTGGGTGGAGGAGGAAATTGTTTTTCTTTCGGTACACATTTCAACCATGGTTGTTGCGAATTTTCGTTAAAAAATCTACTATGATGCTTCCTGCAGATTTTTTTAAATATCTGCCTAAGAACTTCTGGTTTTTCTGCTTGCTGATTCAACTTTTTTAAAATTTTATCATTAGAATCGCGAGAAGTGCTGTTATAATGACGAGTGCACGCGATCGCGCCGTGTTGAATACAATTTTCAATCCTCTTCTGCCCGTTGGGGAATTGGATGAAGCCGACCTTGTCCTTAAAGGTACTTGAGTCTTTTCGACTGAATGTTGCTTGTTGCCTCGCTCATGCGAATCGTTCGTTTGTAGATGTGCAAGATGAAAGCGAAGCATTTGGAAGTGCAAATGCTTTAGAAGTGGAAGGCATTTTGGCTGCCGAAAATGGAAATCTTGAAAAAGGATTGGAGTGTTTCGAGAAGGCAATTTTATTGGCCCCCGAACATCCAGCAGCGTACAATAACAGAGCTCAAGTTTTTCAACTTCTTGGAAGAACCGATGGTGAGTTACAATTCTTTTCGTTGCATAACTTGACGTTTATGGTTATTTTGCGTGATCTTCTCGTGTCGTTTGGTCTACCCTTCACAATTATCTAAGTTTTTAAGTGATCTACTCCAAAAAATGTAATTACTTTCAAATTAATGAGCACATTTGTGGCGTTGCAGAAGTACATCGTTTTTGGGCATTGTAAAAAAGTAGCTTTTATAGATAAATCATTTATCTATTTCTGCGAAGGAATGACGCAACTCAAACCCTTTTAATGGCTTGGAAGGTTCAGCCATCCTCTTTTGCAACGGGAACAAAGAAAGTGGATTTGTCATGAGATGGCTCACACACGCTAGAAGAAATAATTGTTTGGAGTAGATTACGCATGTTCGGTTGATGGCATAATACTGTATACGTTTTCATAGTAGATCAAATACCGAGACAGCATCAGTTTAAACGTGTGTAGATTTTTTTCTCGTCCGAACAATGTTAGCATATTAAATTATAAAAGAAATATTTGAATTAAATTATCACCAGTTGAATTAAACACTGAACCAATGGCGAGAATATACAACATTCATTCGTGAGCTGCTTGATTGCGGAAGGTCTGATTTTGTGGAGATGATCTCGATTTTTGGCTTTTTTGTCATGTACTGTACAGAGGCTCTTCGAGATTTGAACAAGGCCATCGAATTGAGCCGAGGCGAAGGTCGATCTGGATGTCAGGCATTGACACAACGTGGTTGTATCATGAGGAAACTTGGTCGTGACGAGGATGCAAGATCCGATTTTGAAGCAGCTGCCTGTCTGGGAAATCCTTTTGCCAAAACACAGGTTTGTTCACATGATACTATGAAAGCTTTGGGATCACTGTTCATTAAAATTTTTCATGCGCATTCAAATTTTTTTATGAGCCATTCTGCTCACCTTTAAGAGGTTATTTTACCTTAATGCGCATATCTTTTTTTTTTATTCTGGTCCTGAAAAATCAAAGTGAGCCCCGAAATTTAGAGGTTCGTGGAAATGTTTTTGAATGTGTTCAGGATGATAACGTGAGTCAATGAGCAAGTAAGGGGACTTCTGAAATTAATCGAGTTTGCCGTATCGTACTGCACTGTACCAATCATACCATCCTTTTTGATTATCCATTTTATTGCGTTAGATGGTGCAGCTGAATCCGTACGCTGCTTTGTGCAACAAGATGCTCTCAGAGGCGATGTTCAAGCTTCGAGATCCTTTCGACGATGCCCAAGAAAACCCTTCAGCTTAAAACTCAGTCGTGGATATGAACTCAGATTTTCACGCATAGCGATGAGAAGAGAAAAATGCACGGGTTGCTACCGCATTAGTTGCTCCCAAGAATCTCCATGATTAAGAGCATTCCATTTGTATGATGTACTGTAGTTTCCTGAATTAGTGAGCTTTACATTGTGGTGACGGAATCGTGTGCCTTTATTGCATTCTGGGGATTACATGTATTGTACCGTACATTTCCGTATTTGTGCCGCGCTCGAAAAAAATGAAAACCTGTGTCTTCTTCGTTACGATGCTTCTTCGTTACTCATTGAATATTTCAAATTTTCAAACGTCAGTTTTTCCTCTCGTTTATATTTTTCAGGTAGGCCATTTTGTTTTGAAGTGAACACCTGATGCAATGAAATGAGAAAAATAGGCCTGAAGAAACGTGTGCCCTCTATGACGTAATATGTCGGTGACATTACCCGAAGCAGTATTCCTGCTAGTCATCAGAATTTTGATATATTTTATTAACGATTTTCATTATTGACGTGCGTTGAAGCCGCGCTCGTTGTTTTTTGACCTGACGCAAGTCTCCCGCCTCCTTCCCTGGCGACTCGTTGATGAAAACGTGATCCGGAATTTTCCATCATGACTAAATGGGGTGAGCACCCTGAACTGCTGTGCTCAGTGTGATATCAGCGATCCACCGTGTTGGTTGGTGAGTAACAGGTTTAAATGAAATAATGCACTGATGGTTTTTCAATGCGTTTTTGTGTTTTAGAGTGTACAGTATTGTGATATCGAAGAATACTCAGACGTTTTCCGCCATGGACCGTCTCGAAGATTGTAAGGAGGAATCAAATTCGTCTGCTGCGTTAGATGTTCTGAATTATTTTTCTGAAGTCGATGGTGATGCGTCTAAAATTGTATGGGCCCATCGCGTCAATAGTGTGGAAATGCTGGAAAAAGCTCTGAAAGATGGTGAGTGAAGTCCATCTTATAAGCAACCATTCGTTACCATTCACTCAGGTGCGAAACTGATAGAGTTGTGCTTATTCTACTCGAAAAATAAAGCGTTCGATTTGTGATTCCGGAGTGCAAGATTCCTTTTGAAGTTTTCCTTGAATCCGCTGGTTTTCTTTGTCCTTTTCGTCGCTGAATGAGTTATTTTTATTGAAACTTCGTCATGTGTTTAAAATGCGTGAATTTAACGAATGGCAATACTTCTTATATGCCGAGAGAATCATTCCATGTGTACGGTTGATGTCTTTCGAAATTTTTGCGTTTCTCATGAACTTTTAACGGCCTTATACCGTAGTTCGGCTTTAAGTCTTCTAAGTGACGTGGTAAAAATTGACGTACTCTGTCTTTTTCTTTTCGATTTTTCAGAAAGTGTTATGATGCTTGAAGCGGATATCTTATCTGGAACTGTTATTGGGGAACCAAGTAGAGAGACTGCTATAATGAGTCACCCACCTGACGTGGAATCCGACTTGTCATTCGATCGATTTCTGGAGGATTTTCTATCTTCGCAAGTGCGGAAAGGATTGAAGCTGGATTTTAAGGATTTTTCTGTCGTTGAATATTGTCTTCAGAAGTTGGAACAGAATGTGGGAGAGGTACGTGGGATTTCATTTCGATCCTAAATCCGATTTTACTGTGGTGTATTAGTAATATTGTATTTGATTGGGTGAATTTTAGGTTAATTTTCCACTTTGGCTCAATGCGGACATCATTCGAGGACCAGTTCGACGCAAGAGAGATCCCATCGATCCGGATGCTTTTCTTCCGTTGTGCAAGAAATACTTCCCTGAAGCAACTTTGTCTGTTGGTTGGACCGTAGACGTTCCGATGTTTTACTTGGGTTGGGGTGCGTACAAGATGGAACACGTCACTGAAATGGCCGAGGCTCTGAAGAAGCACGGTATTTCTCAACCGGTTACATTCCCAGTTTTTGGTCTGTTCGCGCATAATTCCATTGACGCACTTCGTTGGCTGCTGGACAATGTCAGCGATAGTTCGCTCACGATTTGGGGAGGTAAAGCTGATTCTCCCTATCATAATAGGAAGGCTCTCGGGAAAATGAGGGATTTACTTGGGAGGCATAGGGTATATTTCGATGTCCCGTATGCCGTTCCCGACTGAATTTTTTTTAAAGCATTTTTGATCGATTTGGTTTATTTTATATTTTTATTTTCACATCAGTTTTTCTCATTTGGCGTATTTGAGCTGATACTTCTAGATTACGGAAGAACGGATGTTGCTTCGAAGGAAGCGTAATTAGCCTTCTTAGCTAGAGGTATACCTGAACGGGTCGCTGTTTTTCAAGATCGGCAGATTATTTGAGGAGCGCGCTTATTGCATGGCACGTGGTGTGCTTATGGGTAATGAAGCTGAATGATGTGTTTAACGAATTTCGCGAGTTTGACCTGTGCTTTTCTGGAAAGCAATTAGGCTTTACCTCGAATTTCTTCAGCATGCTAGTCCAGATTGTCCGGGTTATTATGAAATAAATGCGTGAATGCTCAGGATCTCGATTATTTTGTATACATTGAGTGTTACGCTCATGTTCCCAGAACATTTGATGGTTTGTCTGCGTCATTTTTTACAATATACTGTAACTTATACGAATTCTTTTCTGTATACTGCGGTACAATAGGAGGTTTAGCAGTGGAACTTATATTATTTGGGCCTCATTTACCTGTGCAATTCATTATTTGTGCCCAAATTGAAATTTCTTGAAACTAAATAGATGAGAAGCATGTGAGGTATTGATTTTAGCTGGCTTCTGTCTTTCTGATTGCTGTACCCATCTGCAGATGCTATATACAGTATAAAAAATATAATATAGTGTATATATATGTGTATATACCCTATATATACTTTACTGTATTCAGTACTGCATAAAATGATTAGTGCTGTATAATCAATATCTAATTCAGCCTATGGGCTGACTTTTCTTCGTGATTTAATGTACTCTCAACAGCTTCTGAATGTTCATGCACCATTTAAACCTTCTTCTAATTTGTAATAAAATTGTATCACAAATGTTCCTGTATGCTGGTCCGAAGTGCAAAAAGGTTATCTTGAGCAAACCTCATCTTCAACAATTTAGTTACTACCTTCACTGAAATTATGGAGGAATAAATGGTTTTTCTTAGATTTGTATGTGACACGTAATTTTCCAAAACAAAATTTTTTTAATTGTGAAAAAATAAAGACAGTTCAAATAGATTTTGAATGAAAAGTTAATTTCACACGCAGGAAAATTCCCTTTATGAAGCTGGAAAAATTTTTTGGCCTCTCATTAGATGTCTGTGAATAAAAGAAGGAAAAAATTCCCAAAAAAAAATAATAGGATTTTCATATTTGATGCCACAGTAAATTATCCATTCTCTGGATTGTTCCACGGCAGCAGCAATGTCTTACTTATGGAAGGTGATGTAGGATTATTTTAATAATAGATATGGAAATTTCCAATGATTCAAGATAACCCCTATATTTATTTAACCTGAATGTTGCAAGGAAAATACCGTGTTTTGGTCTAAGGAAGTAGCACATCTTGAAATATTGTAAGTTGAAAAGCCCTGCCATATACAGTACCCCACAATGTAATACAATACTGTACTCCATACTGTAATATTCATCACATATTTTAGCGCGTCATCTACGAATCATGTTATAAGCGTGCGTGGAGGTGTCCTGGTCTTGGGGAGTACTTTTTCGGATATGAGGATGGTCCTAATTCAGCCTAGGATGTTCGGAGAAGCTTGATCTTCACATGTTCTTTGTGCAATCGCGCCGTGATGAGTTTTGTGTTGGTTACGAAGGTGGATTCCGTGAACCTACCTGCAGTGCCCGATCTATTATTGAGGCTGAGCTCGTGTGAATCACTTGTGAACGTTTTTGGAATCCTTCCTCAGCGTTCCGAGAATTGCAGTCCCGCTTACTTCGTAATGTCGTAATCTAATGACCGTTTTGCGAACGACTGTCCGTGTGAATGCTGTGTTTTTTTTGGAACTCAATAATGTGTAATGATCATGTTTCCTTACTTTGCCTGTATTCATTTTGTACAATTTTTTATTTTAGATTTTCGAGCGATGTTCAGTTCGTGCAGATTTCCCTTTACGTTGTTGGGAACCCGACAGAAATCTCGGGAAGTGCGTGTCGTTCGTTTCTGTTGTCGAGCAGCACAGGCATGGAAAGCTCCAAATCGGAAACTGCTTGTTTCCGATTACGAAGTTTCAAGATGTAGGACCAAGACGGTGGAACGGGTTTCAGTGTTCATGCGCAAGGCCTGTGCTTCATCTCCGCGTATCCCTTGGTCGCACCAGCGTGCTTTTAGTACTTCGTGCGTCGCTCAGAGTGATCCGTCTAGAATTGAAGTTGTTCCTAGCGTCCCTTATATTCCTGAACTTCCTCCGCTCCCAACGGATGCCGAAACGAACCTTGTGAATGAAGTGTTACCTCAAGCTTTGAACGCTCTAGGAGAGCCTACCCTTGCAAGCTTGGGTCTTGGGAGTAACTGGCCTGCAGGCCTCGTCCAACAGCTCCTAGAAGCCATCCATGTTCACCTTGATATACCCTGGTGGGGTGCAATAACGATTATCACCGTCGCCGTTCGTATGCTTGTGTTCCCCTTAGTGATCAGCGCGCAGAGAAACGGTGCGCATATGACAAACAATCTGCCGCAGATGCAGGTCATCCAAATGAAGCTCACGGAAGCCAGGCAATCGGGGAATTTCATGGAATCAACCCGTTATGCCCATGAGCTGATGGCGTTCATGAAAGAGAAAAACATTAGTCCTTTAAAGAATATGATGGTTCCCTTAGCGCAAGCTCCTGTTTTCGTCTCAGTGTTTATTGGACTCCGGAAGATGGCGAACTACCCGGTGGAGAGCATGACCACAGGAGGCATGTTATGGTTTACAGATCTAACCGTCCCTGATCCGTTCTACGCCTTGCCTTTGATCACATGTTGCACAATGTACTTGACAATCAAGCTTGGCGCGGATGGTGCATCTTTGGCAAACCAGCAAGCTGCAATGGCGAGGACGGTGTTGAAATTCATGCCGATAGCGATTTTTCCTTTCATTATGAATTTTCCGGGAGCGATATTGGTTTACTGGGTTTCGACGAATTTCATATCTCTCGCCCAAGTTTCTCTTTTGAGAATCCCGACGATTAGAGCGTATTTCAAGATTCCAAAGCAGGCTAAAATTGATGTTGACGCTTTGCCCATGAAGCAGAAGAGTTTCGGGGAAGGTTTGAAGGACTCATGGTCAAATATGAAGATTGCCAAACAGCTCGAGGACCGACAACGTGTGGACGACTTGAAGTTCAGAGATGCGGGTACAGGTCCACTGGTGAAGACTTACAAGTACGATCCAACGAAGCAAAAATTGGAAGATGTAGCGCTCAAGGGTCGGCAGAGCTAATTTAGGTGTTGTAGGATTCGGCATTCATTTTTTGTTGAGGAAAATTTCTTCAATACTGAGTTTTTCGACTTGTTTGTGCATCGTTTCCCACTTTCTGATGTTCGAAAGCGAGTTCTTATTCATTTTAGAATCTTCCTTCTTATTTCAAGAACTCGTGTTTTCTGGCTGAATAGAATGAGTTTTGATGCGTTAATCCGCGAATATCAGAATTGTACCCATTGTGAGGATGATATCTGTGGTATTTTCTTCCGATGTGTGACCTGTGCAGAATCTGTCAACCTTTGTATAGAGGTACGTTCAAGTATTTTCGTATCTAATATGTGCTCGATTATGAAATTGTTAAATCAATTTTTAGTGCTTCCGCCATGGAGTGGAGGTCGGCAACCACAAGTCTGCTCATAAATTTAGGTTCATGGTGAGTTGAGAAGCAAAATTTCGTGATTGAAATTTGGGACGAATGTCTGTGAGTAAATTTGTAACGTACAATATTTTCATCAGGATGCTGGTGGGTATGTAGCTTTGCAAGATGACAGGATGAATGGTTGGACTATCATGGAACTTCATCGACTCCTAATGTCAGTTGAAAAGTGTCAAATCGGAAATTGGAAAGATGTATCCTGTTCTGTGCGAACACGATCAAGCAAAAGTTAGAGCTCTCCATAATTCCTTTCAGTGTGATTTTACAAAAGCGTTTACTTGATGTTGCAGGCTGTGAGAAACTGTTCAGCACTCTTTTCACTCGACAAACGTTCGGAAGGTTGTGCTGGGAGAAGGCCAAGAAGAGATGGAAAAGTAACTTCAGGTCGATGCGATGGAACGTGCTTCACAAACCCCCACGTAAGAATCCGAGGCTTACATCAAGTCAGCTTCAGTCGCTGACATATGACAAAAACCGGGATGAATATGAATGTGTGAGTTTTTCGCATTTTTTAATTCTCTCCCGTCGCTGTAGGGTCGCATAAATGTATATAATGATTGATGAGTCTTCAATGTTTGTGCGCAGTATTTATTCAGAAAGCGTTCGGACAGTTCATTGTACCAAACCATGAAAATTTGACGGATGAGCCTCTCTGATTCATTACTTTCAGATGGTCATTGGTATTTAGAGTTGATGAACGCCGTTTGAAGAAATGTGGCTTGTTTTATCGAACTGTTCTTATTCGTAATTTAACTTTGAGCCATCCGGATGCACTGTCTGGAAGAGGACTTCGAACATCATTAGTCTGCTACATGGCTCAGACCTCAGTGGAATAATTTTTTATTTTTCAATTATTAGGAAGCTTTAAATGACGCTGAGGCATGGTTGACGGACGCCTATTCTGATCCAGACGGCGACAAATATTTCTTGGGTAAGGAATGCTATATTATAGAAAAGTGATGCTGAGAATGGCACACTTGAATCTGAAAAGTTTTTCCATTGATGAATTTGGTAGCTCTGAAAGCGTTGCAAGTGGACTTGGTTGCCAAAAACGTGTTTGTGCGCAATCGCATGAGAAAGGCTGCTGATAAACATGATTTGGGTCGCGAATTTTTTGGTTTTGGCCGGCTGGACTACCGGCCGGGATGTGGGACAGCATCGTCTGCCGGCGCGTCTGAGGTGTCTTTCGTCGTTCGTGATGCAGTCAAGAAAGAAGAATGGTGAGGGCAGGGTTCCCGTCTGTTTCGAAGACTTTGGCTCACATATTCGGCTGATCTTTAGGAAGATGAAGAAATTATTCCTCCCGATGGCACAGTTTGTCTCTGACGTTCCGTTTGATGTTCTTTGGCGAAATTTGCTGCGTAAGTTTTGTTCAAGTCGTTCATTTTGCTAAAAGTTTTAAATTCTTCTTTCTTTAGTGGAAGTGGAGTTGAAGGAACGACTGAGAGAAATTCTCTTTGCTCTATTCAACGGGGTGAAGAACGGTGTTGAGCTGGCCGAGTTTCAAAATATGCTTTACTACGCTGCACGTGATCGTGCTTTGACTTCTTGGGAACAGTCCGAGGAATCTAAATATCAACAAAGTGATTCTGGGTATGCTATATTCATCCGATACTGAGAAAATTTTTCCTGCATTTCTATTTGAGTGTAACTATTATACTGTATTTACATGGTAAAATCTCATTATAAGTAGTAACAGAGCCATGGGGGTTGAAAAAATTGTTCGTTATAAACAAATTTTCAGCTGGAAATTTAAATGACATGCTGCTATTGGGTAATGACCTTAAAAACGATTTTTTTTAGTAATGATTGTTGGAACGAGATTCGTTTTAACAAAATTCCATCTTGCAGTGTAAAATTCTTAATTTTTATTTTCTTTCAGTTCTGATGCTAAAGCATCAGACATCAGTGGAGGCGCAGATTCAGTGGTTATTGTGCGGCAAGGTGCTGCTGATCGTGAACCTGGTCTTCCTGGTGCTCATTTGCTGTCGAAAGTTGAGCTTGAGTTTTGTACTGCTATGAGAATGTATGCAACCCAGTATCTATCTTACAAGATGGTCCTGATAAAGGTGAGGCTGAGAAAGTTATAAGAGCGAAAAGAGATTAAATGTCGAAACGAGTGACACATATTGTCGCATTTATAGGATATCATGGATACAACAAAGGGTCTGAAAGTTCGCTCTGTTATCCCTGCCGGACTGAGCAAGATGGAGGCGCAAAAGATGCTGCAATTCTTTGTTGAGCAAGGCTGGATTTCGACAGTCAATGTTGATGAATTTTGAGAACATTTTGGTATTTTTTTCTGCAGTCGTAATAATTTCTATGTGAAAGTTACCTTAGATCATTCTCTTATTTTTGTCTTGTGGGATTTTCCGAAGGACCGTGGTGAAATGGACTTGTGTGACGCGTTAGATCGCGAAGACGAGGGTCCGATGCTAGTGGCCAGTGCGCGTCACCCACGAGATTTCGCCCAACTTCAATTGACCGCGATGATGCAGTCATCTGAGAGCATTGAATCTTTCCGCACGACATCCTCAGCAGGAATGCTTCCGGACGTGGCGAGCACACAGGGATTTTTGCCAACCTCACTGTCAACCGAAGGCGCCTCCAGTTTGTCTGTTCTGCTCATGGATTCTGAAGAAAATTTGGTGGTAAGTTCGCATTTCTTTTTTTCACGTCTTGAAAATATTTTTTCGTCAAGGAAAGTGAATTTTCGTCGATCAGTCAGTCTGTTTGAGATCCTCCCCGGATGTTACCCTTGCAACGCGGTGCGAGGTTTCTTCGTGAAATATTCAAAAGAAAGAGTTCTTAATTAGTCTGATGACGAAAAAATGAAGAGTTGCGCAATTTTGATTGCTACCTAACCAAGTTTAATGTAAGTTGCATACAAATGCCACATAGACGTGCACGCCATCTCCCTGCTTTAATTGTGAGCGTAATCGTGTATGATGAATATTCGCGTAACTCTCTGCAGTTGAACGAGAACAAATTCAAGAAAAGGACAAATATCCAAGGACAAGTGTACGTTGTTTGTGTGATTGGGAATCTGGGCGAAGGGAAATCGCACATTTTGAACCACACCTTCTTTGGCGGCAAAGAAGTTTTCCGCGTTTTCTCAAACGACGGAACAGGCACAGAAGGCGTCCACGTTGCGTTCCGACCGGAGGATCACTTGGTTTTACTGGACACGGAGGGGCTGCTAAATCCTCGCTGCACTAGCCAAGAACGACAAACCCGAATGCTTTTCAAGGTTAGCGGAGAGGAAGTTATTATTGATACTGTATTTTTTTTACTTCGAAACCTTTCAAGTTTTCAGCGTTTTGGGCTTTCTCGCACAAGTTTTGCATATCGATTCAGCAATGCATAAATAGAATAATAACTCCGACGCATTTTCGTGAAAAAAGGTCACTTTTGAGTTACACTGTATTTCTCCGCGCCTCTCGGGCTGCTGTAAAGGCGAAGAAGAAAAAAGTTGCGTGAAATCACTCGAACTGTTCTGTTTTGGAGAGTCAATCCAGGCATTTTGTTTGAACGTCAGCTTTTTTGATGGTTCGAAGCTAAACCAGTGGTTGTAGAAAATGTCATTTGTGATACATTATGCCTTTCTGTTGCATTGGTCAGGTGTTTGATTTGATCGTTCCTTCAGGTGCTGGCTGTTTCTGATGTGGTCATCTTTCACAGTCGAGCGGAAAGACTGCCGTGCAACTTGTTCTCATTCCTAGGGGACGCATCGAATGCGTACAAGATTTTCTTGAAAGCCCATCGTCGACAGGATCAGGGACCCCTTGTCATAATTACACACCAACCGTCCCGTGTTAAACCTTTACAAGAAACGTGTGGACCTCAGGGTAAATATACGCATCGCTCTTGAAAAATATTCAATTCTAATTTTGAGGAAATCGGCTTTTCCTAGTAATGCATTTATCCAGAATTGATCGGAAAACTGTGTTACGGAATTGCGATTTCCTTTCGTGTGCGGATGGGAAGTTGATGCTAAGTCGATCTTGTGTACAAAACTTTATTGGTTCATGTGATGTGGTTCCCTGATACGATATCCGAAAAACGTTGCCCTAAAACGTTGTTCACGTATATTTGAAAATAGGACCCGAAGCGCATCTGCGGAGTACATTTCAATCCATGGGATATAAGCTCGATTCATTTTCCTGCCTCAAATACATTGGATCAACGTCGGACTCAATTCATGCGGAATTGCTTTCTTATGTGCTGCAAAAGCTCAAAGAACCCCCGGCGAGAGAGCGAAGATGTCGTGAAGTTGTTTTCAAGCATCTGAAGGTGAGATAGATCAACGATGTTGTCGCCAGAGTTTCGTTTAACTTTTTTCTTATTGCGATTAGACTTTGAACGAAAGGTTCAGCGGAAAAATTGAACCTCAGTGGAAGACATTTTCGGAGGAATATCTCATCTGTGACATTCGATGCAAATCATGTAGCTCGAGATGTGAACTCACGGTTGGACATTCAGATCAACATTCATCCTCAAAATCTTGCGAGTAAGTAGTCTATCTCCTATTTATTGGCAATTCCATGATTAATTATTGAATTGCCGGATTTACGTGCATTTAAAACCTTGATTCTGTCCCGAACGTGACGTATTCCTGGTGAAGTTGGGCATCGATGCTCATTTTTTCTATGTTTGGTGTATCAACGAAGCATTCTAGATCCATTCAATAATCCAACTTGAAACTTTCATTTTTCTTTTTTGGCAAGGTACAAGGCGCAGTTCGAAAATCAAGTTTTCTGGTGCAAAAGGTGCAATAGAAATGGAAGAAGAGTGGAGGTTGTCCCAAAAGCGTGCTCGAGCCATGATTCGGCATTGATAGGTTTTACCAAAAATTTGTGGTCTGGGTGAGGATATCATGATTTATATCATTTTGGTTGCTCATGCTCGTAACCATATCATAATATGTTCAGAGACGTTTTGGAATGCCGGAACTGTGGCGTGATCCACAGGAGCAGAAAATATTGGCATGGAAACCCTGATCCGGATGAAGCCGTGGAGATGGAAATAAAACATGTTTGGCCTGGGGTGAGAAGGAGGGAGTAACCCCTATTCATTAATTATCATGCTATTTCTTATCTAACATACTAGGTACGATGCTAGACATGCATTAGCTTGAAATCATTTGTTTATTTTTTGGTACACATTCTTTAGAATAGTCACGCACCCTTTTCGAAGAAAATTCTTGTGCCGTTTCTTTTTAATGTGAATGTTGCTATTCCTCACAAGATAGTGAAGGAATTTCTTTACGCAGAGTCGTCCCTAGTCATGACTGCGTGCGGATTCCCCTAATGTTCGCATGAACGTTTCTAAGTGGAGTAGCATGTGAGGAACCTTCAGGTTCTAGTGGAAGTTTCTTTGGAAATCTTGTCATGCTCATAACAGATCGTGACGCAATTCTGCGTGGGGTTCCGTGCAAAATCTGTGGGGCACAAAACTGCTTGAAAAAAGTTACCATCATAGGAATCATTTGTGACCATTTTAAAGTTTGAATTATGCGGTATGAAGTACTTTATTCTGCGTGTGAATTTCGTCGTCAGGCACGTTGTACTCGCATTCGGTTTAGCTAAATCACCGCTGCGCAGATCCATCGGGTTGATGAATTCGGAAGATTCTTTATCGTCCGCTAATTTATCTTCCACAGCCCAGCACCGTTTTGCAAGGGACGCATAATGCCGCGAGGAAGGTTATTGACGGAGTGTCGTACTTGTCAGAAACCGTTTCTACAATCGGTTCTGGGGCGACCTCGGTTTTTTCACAGTGGATAGCTGATCAGTGCAACCCATCATACTGGATACCAAATGCAGAAATCAAGGTACTGGGGATTTGGTTAAGATTTTTTCTAGCCGAACTTTGTCGCCGCTATATGAATTTATTATTGTCTGCTCGGCGATGAACTTTATTTCCATCATCGCTCCAGAAATACAGTCCTACCAAAGCGTTTTGGAGAAATTCTTTATAGCGACAACGCTTCAAACTTGAAGTACAGTAGATTCTAAAATTTTAATTTGTTGTTGTGTACAGCATTCCACATTTTTTTTTAAACTAAGTGAGTTGAGGTTGAATCTACTGGTGCTGTTCTTGTTCAAAGGAGTGTTCGGCGTGCAAAAAGGCTTTTGACAGTACCGGTTCGAATGCTGCAAAGGGGAGAAAGCATCATTGTAGGAGCTGTGGTCAAGGCTTTTGCGCAGATTGCTCTCGTTGGCGCCGACCTGTCTCTGAACGTGGATGGGGAAGTGACGCTGTCCGCGTGTGTGAATCGTGCTTTAAGAAACCTTGTAAGCAATTAGGTTGATTCGCTCGGGGGTAATTTTGTCCATTTATTTATTTATGTTTTTGCCAATGCAGACAAAGACATGAGTACGCCTGAGACGGATGTGCATGTTCGGCAAAAAATAGAAACCGTTTCTTCGACCCTTGGAACACTTACCTCTTTGGTTTTGGATCTACCCATCAGTGAGTGATCGCTCTGTTTTCGCCCTTCTGATTTTTTTTTCTTGTTGTACTGTAATATTATTGTGTAGAGCTGTTATTTTTAGTTTAATTTGGGATCTTCCCGAATACTTTTTTAATACTGTACGATGAAAAGATGAAAAGAAAATGTGCTGACTTAGTTTCCGGATCACGTCGAAATGTAATGCTTTTCTTGCTGATTCAATGCCTCAACGAAAGTGACTGATGTTTAGGCTTGTTTTATAATACAGGTTGATTCTCTTTGAAACTATTTATCTGTATAATTATGTGTTTTTTGGGCCCGTGGTCTTCTCTACAATTGTGGTCCCCAGAATTTCGTCGAAGAGAGTCCACCAATATGAACAATGGTGGCGCACTGCGTCCTTCGTGAATAAATTTATGAATTTTGATGGTCTGTACGAATTATCGAACACAGGTGTACTCTCTCCACGAGGATATTTTCTAATGCGAATTTCTCTGCATAAAAAATTTTATTTGGTACCATGGGTTCTCTTGTCGTGTTATACGGGTTTTCTGCGACGGATGTTCTTCTGGTCCCTTGAATTTCGTTGTAGACGGAGTCCTCGTGTATTTATCGCTATGTGAATGATATGTAATAATTCCGCTGGAATTATTACAGAGTACTTGAAGGACACAAGCAGGCCACTGTACTGGGTGCCGGACGCGGAGATCACTCGATGCTTCGTGTGCCAGGAGCGGTTTGACGAGTTGCGCACATTGCATCACTGCCGCAGCTGTGGACAAGGTGTATGCGACGAATGCTCAAATGGACGACGACCAGTGCCGAATCGCGGCTGGGATCATCCTGTCCGGGTCTGTAATGCGTGCTTCACGGGGACAACCTAGATCACGGATAATTGTGTACCAGTGGCTGGGTTGACGCAATCACGGCTTGTGTCCTCTGGGGAAATGACGATGAGATTCGCCGTTCTACGAGGAACCCTTTTCGTGAATTCTTCACAACCGCATTTTTACCTTTTTTATGAGATGCTCGTCCAAGGATTCCCCCAAGTTCCATCAAGCTTGGTTCGCAATTGCAGCGTTTCAGGGACTGTCAAATTCTTCTCCCATCTTTCTGACAAAGAACTCATGTCATTTTTGAAGGGGCAATAGTTTCACTGAGGTTATGTCTCGATTCGTGTTTCAGTGGTTTGGAGGACAAGTGTAGGTGTGTGACTATTATTCCTTGTCCTCGAATCACAATGAATTCAAGGGCATCAGGTAGATTTGGCGTACATCAAAGGTGAACCCGGCGGCTTGGCTTTTTTGCGAGAGCTACATGAATCAGGTTTTACGAGTGATTGTGGCTGTGAATCGGGTGGGTGTGTGCTCGAATCTTTTATTTTTATTTTGCATTTTTGGGGTTTCTTCGGACTCAAGTTTTCAGTTCATAATTTTCTTCTTGATCATCGTATTTCCTGCGTGCTGAGGGTCGGACTGAGAAATGGAATTGTCGTCACCGCGGAAGGACTGTCCTGTTACCATGATATTTTTGTTTTACGAAAAGTTCGGTGAAGCATATTTTTTCTTATCTTACACGATAAACCGGTTTCCTTAGAAATTCAATTTGAGGAAAATTGGTTCTTGCTTCTGAGATTCCAAAGCGAACGGCATTTTTTCCCGGAAGGGCAGTTCTAAAAGAACGGGAAAATCTAGATGGAAATGAATTTAAACTCAATCCTCCCATACAACAGTTTGACGGGCAAATCACGCTAGGTAAGAAAGTTTCTTGATTATATGCCCGTCGTTCTGGTTGAAGCTTGAGCGTTCGTGCGTTTTGTGCTGAAGTGCGTTTTTTTTTTAATTTTTTATTTTATTTTTCATTGCAACTTATTCACCGCTGGTTTCATTTTGATAGAGCACGGACGAGAGACAGTTGTAGAAACTGGCTCAAGAAATATATTTTCCTCAGCGATTTCCGATGCACCCTCGAGAAATATCGCGTTTCTGTCTCTTTATTTTCTCTATTCGATGTTCGAAGGCCTTCACTTGTGGTATGCCCAAGATTATCTGCATTTTATGCGTTGGAAGTCGATCAGCTTTACGAACATCTGCTGTTCGCTGGCGCAATTGGGACTGTGACTGATCGCACCTGGAAACGAGGAAGAAATCAGCTTCCTGTTAAACTTCCAATCACCATTGACGGGAACCATATTTTTCAATATGATTCTTCCATTGACCTTTTCTTGAATAATTGATTATTCTGCAGAAATTCAAAAATAAAATTTTTGTTTAATTTTTTTCTGCCACAAGAAAGCAAAATTAGATCAACCCCGAAACCTTCTGCTTGTTGAAGTGTTACTGTCTGAACCATCATAATGAATAAGTTTTTTAAAAATGCTCAAACCGCGCTATGTCACTCAAACATCAAGTGTAGATGATTTCATTATATGCGACATGCATCAATTCTTGTATAATACTTGTCAAGGAGGCAATGGTAAACGACGACCTTTCAGACCCGCATACAGTATTTCCCTAGTTTTCGTAGATTTTGCTGGAGGGTTTAGCTGATGAGATCTGCCCTTGGGTGTGACACTCCTCAATAATGAGTAAACCTCTATACCGAATGAATTCTTCTTCTTGAAGGGCGATGTCCCTTTTGCAAGCACAAAATTAAACGTGAACCCCCGGGGTCACATTTTCATGTATGTTTTAGAGTTAGATGATAAATAATGTAGTTGCTTAATGCTCGACATGAAAATAAGTTACAAGAGACAGGATAGATCGTGAGAGAAGCAGGTATATATCAACCTGTGCCCATGTGCTTCATTTTGTGTTGAGCACTTATTGATGCACGGTAACAGAAAGATCTTTTGGTGTCAAATGATGGGACAAGGTATTTACAAAATTAAAGTCCGCTATTGCTGCAATTAAGGCACAGTGCTGCTGTACATCAAAATCTTGCTAGAGAACGAAATTAGTATGTTTCCGTCTTTTCAATTGAAATATTAGTGTTTTGCGTTACCAGCAGTTGATCAAACTTCTGTAGAAATGTATCAGCTGGTTAGTGTGGTTACTACACGTACATTTAGACCTTATTGCCAAGTCGAACCTTCCAAATTCCAAGTCAATCCTGCATGGACCTATATATTCCTCAAGTCCAAGGCAATTAAAATTTCCCATTGTGTCAATATTTCTTATTGGTTCCCATCTCACAGAATCAAATTTGTGAGACATTCATTGGAGCTAAATTTTATGATACAGTACCTGAGAAATAGAAAAGATAAAATTTCCGGCATTTATTATTATTTATTATTGTTATTGTTCTCTGTGATGGATGATACTGTATATGTATTATGCTGCCGCAGCAGGTAGGAAAGCTATGAATCATGAACAGTTTTGATATTGCTGGTCAGAAAATAATTTTCTCCTATTGGCCCAGCATATATACTGTATAATGATGCCGAATTCCCCAACTCGAAACTCTCATCCAAAATTTGAAATTTTGAGTTCTTTGAAATTTAATAACTGTGCAATATATATTGCGAAGTTCAACTGAAGAAAAAATATTTTGCAGATTATCAGTGCTAATTCTGGCTCTCGCAATGATTCGACATTTAATATTACTGTGTAGATGTGTATTACAGATGGATAGTATAATTACGAGGGGTTACGCATATTTCCTCGCGGACACGTTTCCGCGCGGAATCATGTCGATGCAGACTTGAAATGATGTGAACACCAAGTATTAAAAAAAACATTTTTCTCATGTTCATCGGTGCTCAGCTCTTATATGATCCATGTGTTGAGATGGAGGCCTTGAATTGTTCATAGTTCTTACATTTTGAACCTCCCACAGAACAGCAGCAGTGACATGCTTATCCCTGGAAGTGTCAGCCTCTCATTACACGACAGCAGAGGATAGAGCTGTCATCTATCAGATTTTTCTGGCAAACGTGCCCACCTCAAAGTTCAGAGGCCACGCCTTCCTCTGGTGCAACGACTGATGAGTAAGTTCGGACATCTGCCGGGGAAAATCGTGTGCGGATTTTGCAGCTCCCTCCCGCGTGCATGCATGCGAGGAGTTAGTACTGCAAATTCAAAGAAGTACAATAAGGATGAATAATAAAGTAGACCTTTCTCCACGAACACACTTAGTAATATTTCTTGAAGTCAGCAACACAATAAAACACAAGTCAAAGTTTAAGAGATGATGTCAAGTCAAGAGCTGAAGTTCGAGTGCCAGTCCAGTAAGGCATTCCCATGACTTACAGAGCGACATCTAGCGTAACAGTGTTTTACTAATTATTCTCCTACAGCTCTAGACCTCATATCTCTAGATCAGTAGCACGATGGAGAGGAGCGACGGAGAGCTCCATGGATGGGGCATTCTGGTGTTTGAGCTTGACTTGTACAGTCCTACTCTTGTTTTAACTCTGACTTTGTGTGTGCCTGTGACGTCGAAGAATAAACTTGTACGTTGAGCCGTGATCAAGGACTTTATTTCCCCGATGTTTGAGCTTGACCTGTACAGTCCTACTCTTGTTTTAACTCTGACTTTGTGTGTGCCTGTGACGTCGAAGAATAAACTTGTACGTTGAGCCGTGATCAAGGACTTTATTTCCCCGAAACTCTTACTGGGGGCTCGGCCGTTGGAATTGGACCTGAGATTGATCACGTGCCGTACCCGACGTTCACGAAATGGTTCGCAACACAAATAACTCTAAAGCCGCGGCGGAAACCGCGTTGGGAGAAACCGAAGAATTTCACTCCGACTCCGAATCCGACGCTGGGGAGAGCGGCGCACAGGCTCCCAAGGAAAAACGCCCGGAGAGCCAAACTCCATCATCTTCTAGTGTGTGGGAAAGTCTTCCAATCACCACATTGCAGCTCCTCGTGGACACCTATCGCTTGGGCAGGCCGAATAGTAACTCCAAAGCGGAATACGCAGCACAGCTGGACCGGTTTCAAATTCCTATCTCAGCCATCCATGCACTGCCGCGTTTATCAGCACCCGCTCCACCCAGAGACTCGGCGACAATCTGCGAGGACCAGCAACAATTCCCTATTCAACCCCCAAAGTGGTTTGCCAGTCTGCATTCGCCGGACCTGCCGAAACAAAATTCCAATGAAGCCTTCGAGGACTACGTCATCCGTCTTCGTAACCTCCCGGCGATCGATAACATCACCGAAGTACACCTGGTCCGATGCCTGTTGCAGAACACCTTGCCACATATTCAAGGTACGGCAAACCGTCATCATAAACGGGGAGTTACCAGTTTCGACCAGCTGGTAGAGGTGATCACACGTCGACACCCCACCCCCCACCTAGACAGATTGGAGACCTTCCGTCGCATGAAACCCGAACAGGAGGAGAGCTACTTCAGCTTTGCGGAACGTATGCGGGACCAGTACGAGGCCTTCCTTCGCTTCCCTCCGGCAATGCTGGAAACCGGAGAACCCTTCCTACAACAAGTATTTATGGAGCAACTCTTCTTCATCTCCGACGGTGGATTAAAAGACGAGCTCCAGAAGAAGTGGCTGAGACAACCGACGATGTCTTGGGACGATATGATCGAAATCGCCGAGTCATACCGGATCAACCACCGCGTCCGCAATTCATCATCTTCAGGTACCGTGAAACCCAATTACAAAAACCGGCCCTCGCTCCCACCCCGGCAATGGTGTCAACATCACGGACGATATATGCGACATGGGAGTCACGAATGTCGACTTCGCCAGAATGCAAATTTTACGCCGCGAAATGAAAATTCTTCCGCCAATACCGCGAGTACCCCGTCTAATGCTACGACGCGTTCAAACAATGACTCAACAAATCTTTGTTTCCATTGTCAGAAACCGGGACATTATTTGAAAGACTGCCCACAGATCCAGGGAAACGCCAAACAAGCACAGTAAACGCGGCATACTGTGCTTCTCCTGGACTCTCGGCCACACCCGCTCCCATCGTGCTACAGCTCGCTATATCAGGTCAACCCTTCTCGGCACTCCTGGATACGGGAGCTTCACACTCTTTTATTTCTGCGGAACTCGTAAGCTCTTTAAATTTACCGACCGAACCCTCTGATACGTTAGTGCTAACCGCCTTGACCGACAACGCCGTACAAGCGAATCGCGCGGTACAACTGGAGTTTTTGTTTCATGGGACAAAGATGCGCGCGCAATTCATCGTCTTGCCCAAACTCTCCGAATTCCCCCTGATCCTGGGACAAACAACGCTCGCGCTTCTACCTCTCGCGATCAATCTAGATGGACAAAGAATTTTTACGGGCTTTAAAGAGATCACCGCGGTACCCGCAAAGCCAACGATGACAGTAGGTCAGGGCATTGCTTTCGTAGACGGAACGGCGGAAGAACGCGGACAAATCGAACGCATACTGACGCAATACAAATCGGTGGTATACCAATGGTCTGGTCGCAGAGGTCTTTTTACAGACCACGTCGCGAGATTACCCACGGTCGACGCAGCCCCACCGGCTACTCAGCAGTACCGCCATTCCTCCGACAGACATACTTCATTCGCGGAATTGATCGAACTCTATTTAGAAGACGGAATTCTAGAGCTCGCGGAATCGCCGTATAATTCTCCGGCCTTTTTAACGGACAAGAAATGTTCCGACCCCGCTGCACCAGTTTCCAAACGCTGGAGACTGGTGGAAGACTATACAGCAGTTAACGATCTTTTAATCGCTGATCACTATCCTATGCCCGTTATTCAGGAATTGCTAGACGCCTTGGGGAGAAAGAATCAATATTTTTGTACTATAGATCTCCATTCCGCTTTTCATCACATTCCGCTCGCGCATGAAGATAGACCCAAAACCGCATTTACCACCCCTAAAGGGCAAGTCCAGTACAAGGTTTTACCCTTTGGGCTTAAGACGGGCCCAGCAATTTTTCAGCGCACGATTAATACAATATTGCGGAAACATATTTTCAAGCGCTGTTTAGCATATATGGACGATATAATAGTGTTCGGCGAAAACTTCCCTATGCTGTGCGAAAATCTGGCGGAAATCCTTAAAACCTTGCAGAAAGCGGGGGCCGCGATCGACATCGAAAAATCGAAATTCCTGGCGAAGAAACTGGTATTCCTGGGGCATGAAATCGACCAAACGGGTACGAGACCAGCGGAAAGGAACGTTACGGCAGTACGAAATTTCCCCAGACCGGAAACTACGCGGCAAATGCTCCGGTTTTTAGGGATGGCAACTTACCTCCGCGCGCACTTGCCAACAAATTTCGCGGACGCAGAAAAACTACTTCGCAGCATCATACCAAAAAAACCAGCGGTCAAACTGGATTGGTCTCCAGAAGCTCTTAAAGCATTTGATCACTTGAAGGAAGTGCTAGCGGACACGGCGAAACTAGAACGGGTAGACCCGAAGCTGCCGATCTCAGTTCATTGTGACGCATCCTCAACTAGTTTAGGGGCAGTATTAGTTCAAACCGACGAAACGGGCGCGGAAAGAGTGGTGCAATACGCAAGTCGTGTTTTATCAGGGGTCGAAATGCGCTATACAAATACCGAAAGGGAACTTCTTGCAGTGGTGTGGAGCGTGACGAAAAAATTCCGACATCACCTGGAACATCGAAAGTTCACAGTGAATACCGATCACAAGGCGCTCTTGGGGGAATTAAAAACTGAAAGATTAATTAGTATGCGGATGAAGCTGGCGAGTTTTGATATGCAACTAGTCTATCGACCCGGTAGCATGCTGCAGGGCCCGGATGCCCTTAGCCGAATTTCATTAAATACAGCCAGTACGCGTCAGATTCCACCAGTGGAAGACCGCTCGGATATTATTGCAGCATATCACGAAGAGCTGGGCCACGCGGGATGGAAAAAAGTCTATCAAACGCTACGCGAACGCTTCTTCTGGCCTAAATTAAGACAAGACGTCTGGAAGCAAATCCAATCCTGCTCTTTGTGTTTTAAATTTAATATCCCCACGCAAAAAATTGGCACCGAACTCGGCTATATTGATTCGAATACGGGTAGATCCGAAGCTGCCGATATCGGTTCATTGTGACGCGTCCTCAACTAGTTTAGGGGCAGTTTTAGTTCAAACCGACGAAACGGGCGCGGAAAGAGTGGTGCAATACGCAAGTCGAGTTTTATCAGGGGTCGAAACGCGCTATACGAATACGGAAAGGGAACTTCTTGCAGTGGTTTGGAGCGTGACGAAGAAATTCCGACATCATCTGGAACATCGAAAGTTCACAGTGAATACCGATCACAAGGCGCTCTTGGGGGAATTAAAAACCGAAAGATTAATTAGTATGCGGATGAAGCTTGCGAGTTTTGATATGCAATTAGTCTATCGACCCGGTAGCATGTTACAGGGCCCGGATGCTCTTAGCCGAATTTCATTAAATTAATACAGCCAATACTTGTCATATTCCACCAGTGGAAGACCGTTCGGATATTATTGCAGCATATCACGAAGAATTGGGCCACGCGGGATGGAAAAAAGTCTATCAAACGCTATGCGAACGCTTCTTCTGGCCTAAATTAAGACAAGACGTCTGGAAGCAAATCCAATCCTGCTCTTTGTGTTTTAAATTTAATATCCCCACGCAAAAAATCGGCACCGAACTCGGCTATATTGATTCTAATGCGAACGCTTCTTCTGGCCTAAATTAAGACAAGACGTCTGGAAGCAAATCCAATCCTGCTCTTTGTGTTTTAAATTTAATATCCCCACGCAAAAAATTGGCACCGAACTCGGCTATATTGATTCGAAGAGACCTCGCGAAAGGCTAACTATCAACTTCTACGGTCCTCTCCCATACACCCCCGAGGGTTTCCGCTACGCGATCGTCGCAGTGGACCATTTTAGCAAGTTTATGTTTGCCAGGCCTGTCTTGAAAGCGGATACAACAACAGTAATCCCATTTATAGCAGATATTTTCCAGCAAGCAGGGGAATTTGAAACGGTCCACACGGACTGCGATTCGGTCTTCAGGAGTACGACCTTCCGGC